ATTTACAACGCAGGGTTGGAATATTTCCTTCCAGCCTTTTCTCAGTGCAATAAAATTTCAATATTCCGAGGGTAGAAAAACATGCGCAATCCTATTGGTTTGCCAATATATATTTAGAGTGTGATTTTTGGTCTGAGCTGCCATCCGACGAATGAAGTTTTAAATTGTCTATGGATAAATGAGTTTTAAAAGATATTTGTTTAAAAAGCCCATTCTAATGATTGTATGTTTGCCCGATCTTTCCAATAGTCCACAACAATGCCAGAATGAAGGCGGAGTTGTGAGTTAAATCATTTTCAGACATCAACATTCAAGCACATTTATACCAATGAATTACATATTTTTAGTGCATAAATATAACTAACAATGGAAACATCACTTTTCCTTGCTGTGAGGACTTAACGTGTATCCCAAGTGGAACGAGCGGTGTGTGGATTTGTACACTACTAAGTCATTGATGGAAACTGAATTAAAGAATTATTATTTTAATAAAAGCGACCAAGTAATAATAAATTAGTCAAGTAGTTGACAATTTTCATTTTAATGACGCGAAATATCGATTTGGTATCTTTGCAAAAATTGTTCATTATGTCAAACTGTACAATTTTGCAAAAAAAAACAAACAATTATTGTATATCTATTGGAATAAATAAATTATTTAAACCTTTACTGACCTCTTGAAAACATACTCTATAGTTATGCCAATAGAAAGTTTGTGTTAAATACACCATTCTCAATCTCACCTATCCATATGCGCAGCCGAGTGAAAAATCATGCGAAACATAGGAATAACAAGGACGGCTATACGAATGAGAGCATTACAAATGATCTATTGCCATTGTCATTGATGCAAAAGGAGTGAGACGACATGATGATTGACATCACATGGAAGAGCGCATAAAATCCCAATAATCCCATTGAATGAGAATGAGATTGAAAATGCTCAATCGAGCAGACACTGATTGCAATCGATGTTTTGTGAGGATGAATGGAGAAAGATGATTCAAAGCACTTTACACCTCACTCATTCACACTCACTCACACATTTTCTCTTTCTTCACACGAACATATTCTATACAGATACAGGGTGAATTCAATGTAAACAAATGCTATCGCAACAGCGAAAACAGAGATTTTTAATCATTTGATGGGTTTGTTTAAAAATTCACATTTGTAATATATCAGAAGAAGCGAGAAAAAAATATAATTCGATTTGCCAATAGAATCGTATGTGCTTGCTTGGATTGGTATTTATTGAAGAAGAAGAAGAAATTACAATTTTACATTGAAATCAGTTACATTCAAAGAAGATTTGCTTAGATGAACTACGATTAAGTGATTAAATTCCAGATATACTTCTGATCCATGGTCTAACGGAACTAACACGGCCATAGACTCCAGGATAGCTTGGTTGGGCACAACCTCTGCCCCAACTCACCTAGAAAGGAATTACCAATTGATAATTTCGCGTTTTTTTTTGCAAGTATATTTACAACTATGAAAAAATAAATCACTTACTACTCCAATCACAACGCGAGCGCCATCATTTTCGATCGATAGTGGGCCACCCGAGTCACCTTTTGTTGAGAAATTCATTAAAAATTGAATTCAAATTACAATGTTTAGTAAGCCATATTTTTTTTACCTTGACATGAATCTTTTCCACCTTGTTCATAACCAGCGCAGATCATTTGATCGGTAATCGGTCGGCCTGAGCTTTTTCTGTATTGTTCGTCACAATACTCTTGATTGGCGATTGGAACATAAGCGGCACGGAGTACTGCATTCGATTCACTTGAGTTGTGTGTTGCGCCTAATGAATGAAATGTAATTCATCTTCAATGTGTTTCTAATGCTTAATTCGATTTTTGTTACCCCATCCTGAAACCAGTGCATCGATACCATCGGCAATTTTAATATCTTCGTTTGGTAGGGCGATTGATTTGATTGCATTGCCAAATGTCAATGGTTCAGCCAGTTCCAACAGCGAGAAATCGAAATCCGTGATACTGGGGTTGTACTTTTCATGTTGGTAAACTTTTTTCACTTTAATAATTGAACCACCACTGGCGTGACGTGACGAACCAACACGGACGGAATATGATCCAGAGCTGAAATGCAAGATCTCTGTCGAGTTATTTCTTCTGTTCGTTTTTAACTGTAACCACTGAATATTACCTGCTAGCACAATGGGCCGCGGTCAATACCCACTCGTTTCCAATTATTGAACCACCACAATTGTGTGATGATCTCACTTGAAGCGACACTTGCCAGGGTTGCTCTTCGATGGTCGTCTCGAAACCACCAACAATTAGTCGATCATCGACAGGGCTGGCTGAGATTCAATGATACATGTTGAGTAAAATAATGGTGCACCATTGGAATGTCTCTGAATTAAAGTTCCATGGAACGTCTTTGAGTTAAAATTTTACCTGATGCCAATCCGATCACTAATGCAACCGCCAAAAACTTGAACATTCTGAATTGATTGATTGTTTTGACTTTCACAAACTAGATCAGTAGCGTTTGAATTGAATTTGCTGCTTGAATTGAATTCGGAGTAGCGTTCACGCTTATTTATACCATCCAGTATTGAGAATTTATCGATTATCTTTGTTTGCCAACTTCAAGTATGCTGCACATTTTCAGTTTTTGTAAAACTATTTTTGCACTCAAACTAATATCAGAATGGTGACACATATGCGTTGTGCGCCAGTCAGTCAAGTGCACTTCTTCTTGCGCTTAAACCATTTTGATTGTTAAAAATTGTTCGCAAATGAATCATTTTTCCACTTAGATCTTACCTAACAATTGTCAGTTCTATTGGGCTGGACTTGAAACCGAAAAATAAAAATTGAACTGTTTGAATCAGTTGAATATTCGACAAATTTAGATTAGACATTCTCCTTTAAATCAGCTGGAATAGGCAGTATCTTCATTTGCTACTTGTTTGATACCATCATTGAAACGCTAATAAGTTCAAAATTCCTTGCAATGAAACAGAAAAATAAGACGGAAAAAATTCAAAGAACATTTTTGAGTTCGCCGATTTTTGGTTGCATGAAATTTCCTAAAAGAGTAGTCACGAATACAATCAATGAATATCGTGCCAAAACTTTTGCACTTTCTATCGTTCCATCAATAAGTCAATGACTTGCACTCGATGAAGTCAAGTAGTTTTTTCTGTGAGTAAATATAAACAAAATATGTCTGCTTCATTTTATCTAACAACGTAAAATCCCAAGTGGAGAAGCCACACTCAATGCGACACATTTTTATGGTTCAAGTATCTGTTTAGTGATAAGAACATTTTTTGATTGCTTCAACTTTTACTACCGTTGAGATGAATCACTTAATAGACGAGGTGAATAAAATGTCTTTGTTTAATCGGATAGAAAGTGGTCCTGATTGTATGAGTTTGGATGGAAAGCAATTGCAATTAGCTACAAATTGAGGTATTTATCATTCCGATAGCTCCAACCAGTTCCGAGAACGGCACAAAAATCAGTTAACAAAAACCACTCATCAAAAATTTCTCATATAAAATCTTGAAGTCGTTTTCAGTGGTGCGTGACTATTGGGGTGGTCCAAACTGATTTATCATGGTAAGGTATATGCTCCCAATAGCTTAAAATTAAATTGGGCTCAAAACTAGCTGATTCACTTTTTCAGATAAAAAAATGTTAAAATCTAGTGGTCGATAGAGCCGTACTTAAAATGGCTGTTTTTGACCTATTTTTGACCTATTTTTCTAGGAAAAACTAAAAAGTTAATAAACTTTAAAGTTTTTTAAACGTCAAACGCACGCAGAAAACATATGCACGTGTTAACAACGTTTGAATCTCGAGATTATTAAACGTCTGTCACCCGAACACGACACAACAACACATGGAATCATATATTCCATATGCGACTCCATTTGTTTTTCGTTTCAGATAATATTTCAAAATTTGAAATTCTGAAGGCACCAAAAAAATCGTGCCTCCAACTAATGGTTTTGAACGTTTTTTGAGTAATATTTTAGAAATTGTAGTTTGCTACCGATTCAGCCAATAACATTGAAAATTGGCTGCCATGCATCCTAGCAACCATAAAAATTGACAAAAATTTATGTTTTTTTTAGAATAGAATAAAGTGAAAAGTCGTTTACAAGGTGTTTGGTTTTTGGGCTGTAACCGGAATCACAATATGTGTGGATTGCATTAAATAAAGTCATCTATGTCATGAGTTTCAAAATTTGGTTTTTTTATATACAATTTAAATTATTTTATAATATTTAAATGAATAATTTCAATTTTGCCTGACAAATTGACTTTATAAAAAGAACTTTATCAAGAAAAAATTATTTTTCATTGCAAATGCTTGAAAACCAACGTTTTACAAGAAATTGTAGACTTGTAAATGAGTTTTACAATTCTCTGTAAAATTGTAAATCAATTTTACAATTTACAAGTTTACAATTATTGTAGCTGTACGGTACAACGGGTTCCAGAGTGCTATTGGATTCGAAATTTGGTTGGCTACGTATGAAATTTGTTCGCTGCCAAAGTTTGACTCAGGCGAAAGATAAATGCTTTAGCATAGAAAAAATATCCGCATATTTTTTGGTTTGTCCACTCTCAGTATATAACGGCACCCAGCTTCATCGAGTATCACCACGCACACTGAACGTAGTAATATAGATTATAGAACGGTTTGTTAACAAAGAAAAAAAATTGTTTATAAAAAAAATCTTCCAGAGTTGTACGGCGCAATGTACTTAAACGGCAGCAATGCTGTCCTATGTTAAGGTTTTGCGCTGTATAGTTCTGGTAGATTTTGTTTATAAAAAAATTTTTCTTCGTAAACAAACCGCCCTATACTACCACGTTCAGTGTGCATGCTGATAGTCGATGAAGCTGGGTGCCGTTATTTACTGAGAGTGGACAAACCAAAAAATATGCGGATATTTTTTCTATGCTAAAGCATATATCTGTCGCCTGAGTCAAACTCTGTTCGCTGCTAAAATAAAGTAGTCGCAAATATAGAGTCGAAGAAATGGAAATTTTTCAAACTTATGCACTTCCATCTTTTACGAACAGTTTAGGTAGTTGTATTGAGCTGTGAAACCGTATGTGTACTGAATTCTTTATTTCCGAATCCGTTCACTAATGTTCGATGTTTCATTCATGCAATTTTACGCTACTACTGATTTCAAATCCACCGATATTTAGCTCATCGATATTTTATGAATTTCGAAATCAGTAATTGCCGACAATTGCAGATAATGAAAATTGCAACGAAACAACGAAATAGTGAAGGTACTGTGGTAACCCCTGGAAAAATCGTATAAAAATTCGAAAAGAAATAAAACGCTTGTATGAACCATAATCAGAGACATTTTATTCAGAATGTTAATTTTTGTGATAATAAATAATTTAAACAACGTATCGACAGCGTTTCAATTCGGAAATTTGGACATTTTAATGATTTGGACCCAATCACTTGAGTGATGTCAAATTTGATATCATTTTTATATGCATTCAACTCTACGCGAAAAGACTTTAAGTAAGTAGTCTGTAGAAAATAGAATCATTGTTTCAAAATGACGCAAGCGCTGGATTTCTGAAGCATGAATCTAAATTTACAAAGCTTTGTATGCATTAAAACGCCCTAAGTTCCTTTATTGAAAACCGTCGACATGAATTTTAGCAAATACACACAAAAAGAACGATTTTGATCAAAACTTGACGGCATATTATGCATCTATGGCCTCTATCTATTGCGGGGAAAATCCACATTAAATTCATCATCGAAATTACGTTTTCGAAGCAATTATTCTTGTTTGTGTGTATGCTGTCAATGATAAATGTAAGTTACAACTAAATTTCAATTACAAGCTAAAATAAGGCACTTTCATGTTGGCCGCTTTGAAAGTGCAAGCGGGCAGCTGCTAACACTATGAACTAATACCCGCGTTTATTTCAGGTAAAGAGAGAAAAGAACGATCAATTGATCATCATATACCATTCATTAGAATTTGTGATCTTCAGGCAGTGTTGGCTTCGAACATTCGTTCGACCATTCGACGAAAGAAAAACAATTCTTCGAATTATCGGTCGAACAAACGTTCGAAAGTGTTCAACGGCCAACATTATTGTTTGGGAACGATTGTTAAACCAATTTTCAAATCTCCCTCAAAACCGTCAACAAATTTATCAATTGATCGAGTTTTTTTCCCAACTTGTTTATTCTTTCTCATTTGTATTGACTTGATTTGTGGCACCATTCAATTCGACTGCTCGACTTAAAGGAAAAAAAAAAATCTACAGTAAAATCAACCAAAACCCGGATTAAAATTCGTTGCGAATTTATCGAAAATGGAAAATAAAAAACTAAAAACGACTAAAATATTTTCGAATAAATTTGCGACGACGATTATAATTTATCTTAACGAATATAAATTTATGAATCACATGAACTACACAAAATAATCATAAAAATTGCCGTAGAACAACACATCGACACACACACACACACACCCAGTATGCTTGGTATATCCACGTATTCAATCTACGTATACATGGCATCGAGTGGAATAAGCGGCACAAGTGATTATGAGATATGCCAATCGTACAATGTATGACCTTCATCAGCCTCTGGCTGCTCTCAGTGCACGGTATGTGTATTGTGTACTCGGCATGTACCATCAATGGTTTAGATGTATCTATTCACCTGCGTGTGACATAACAACTGAAGCACTACATAATAGCAACGCCAGCTACAAAATCTCATCGTTTGTTTCCTTCTCAACCTCGTTCGATTACACAACCGCAACAATCAGCGAATAAATATTAAATAAATGCAACTTAAAATTTAACGCGCCATTTCACACGCGAAAACACAACAATTTTTCTGCCCATTCTAAATTTATCATACGTGGTAGTTACAAACGAAAAACAAATATGTATGTATCTATTGCCAGTAGTAAAATCGTTAATGAAATAAACCAGCCAAAGCGTATTATTGCCTATTATTTTTTTTTTTTTTTGTATACGAATCACTCGCGGTTTGATGTTAGTTTCGGTGCATCCCATCAGCTAGCACTATTGCCAGACACCGAATTGTGCTGATTTTGCTCCTCCAGATAATTGTCATTCGTATAGAAGTATGGATGCTGCTGCGTTGGGCAGATAAATCGCTTCTTTGGCGATACCCAATTCTTTGTTTTATTGCCCGGCTTTTCGTATAAATTATTCCACAGCGCAACTCCCGCCCAACTATCGGCAAAAAAGAGGAAAAATTGAATTTGATTAGGAATAACTTCGAATGAAATTTTTTTAGAAATGTTTCTTTTTTTCCTTGAAAAAGTCATCAGGGTTTGATTTTGGAAGAAAAAAAAAGTATTTTTCGTCAAAGAAACTCACCCGTGACCCTTTTGACTCATATGGAAACAATCAAACGCCAGCAACGAACTGTCAAATGGCTTTTCGTCTGTTTCAAACTGAAAAAAATTGGATAAAAAATTCATCGGAAATTTAAGGGAAATCGAGTAAAAATCATTATTTAAAGCGAGAAGAAAATGATGGAAATAAGTTTGAAGTTAAAATTTGGTCAAAAACTCAACAAAAAAGGGTATTTGAACGAAAATTAGGAGAAAATCTACAAAAATGGGTCAAAATTTGAACAAAATACGTATCTAAACCGATTTTTTTTATCTAAAAACCAAATCAAACTTACGCTTAAACCCACTGGCCACGGTTGAAATACAGCGGCGAACTCCTTGAGATTGCGGAACTCCTTCATTTGTGCCACATTGAATTCGACTTCGTGCATTTCAGCCTGAATGCGATGGTATAGCTCTTGATTCTCTTTGTTCTGATTGTACAAATGCCCTATCCAGCACGAGCATTCGCCGTGGTGTAGCATTTGGCAATGGAATGGCTTATTTTCAACCATAACTACGCTTTTCACAAACGGCGTAGGCACAATTGAAACAAATGTTCTGTAAACGAGAAAGAGAGAGAGAGAGATTGGGTCAACGAACGGTGTGAATGAATTCTAGGAAATAGAAGCCGACGAAAAACAAACCTTGGCAAATTGTCACGTAAATATCGTAACGTCTTCACTAATCGTTGTTTGTGTTTGCGCGGCAAACTTTCGGGCTCATCCATTTGACAAATGAACGAACAGATGTCATTGCCTCCAATTGCGATTGTCACCATTTTCCATGACTTTTTGAAATTGATGCGTTTGTCCATTTTGATGCGTTGCACAAGCATCTTTGCCATGTATGGCATGTCGGCCGAAGATGCTCCGATCTCTGCCAAATTCAATTGACTGTCCAAATGATACGTCCAAGCGTCGTGCTTTGAATATCCCACCAAATTTGGATTGTACTCTATTGAAATGAAGGGAAATTTATCAGTTTTTTTTTTGTTTGGAGAGTTTCATAGATTGGAATTCGTACTAGAATCAAAATAAAAAACTGAAGATTTTTTAGTATTTTTGTGTCTTCAATCTAATTACTTTGGTTTGATTTTTTTGGCACAAAATGAAAGCATTGAAAGTGGAGCCTACCTTTCAGAATATTTGGCAGAGTTGATGAATTTTTGAATGACCATTGTCCTCCGATACTCCAAGATAGGCCACGATTTTCAATAACCAAATCGGTGACGCGAACCGATGAGGCTCCCGATGCTGCCGTCAGTGAATCACCCAATGCCGCGATTACGTCGATGTCACCTAAACCACACAGAATACATAAAAATCAAACAATTTGTTGAATAATTCCTTGAATTTTTCTTTTTGGCTGATATTCGCATGAAATGATCAATTATTGGTTTAAAATCATCAATTTTCGGTCTGAAATCAACGAATTTTTCGGAAATAATCAATTTTCAGATTAAAACTATTTCGGGAGTACAAAATATTTCCTCTAAATCATTACAAAGTCAGTTTTTCAAAAGTCATCAATTGGCTGCAATAATTTTATGGTAAATCCCAGCATTTGAAGGCTTTAAATGTTGAAAAACAATATTTCTTATCCAAACATGTTTTTTGTTTTGTTCTTGGTTTCGTTTTCCAATTCTCTACATACTATTCTTATGTATTACTTTGCATTATTACAAAGCATTATTGCTTAGCATAGCGAATTCGCTATGAAAATGATTGACAAGCTGGAGGCGCATTTGTTATTTATAATTCATGCGATAAGCCATCGAATGTGCATAGCTAGAAAACTCGACATTTTTTTTCATTGCTTCTAAATTCAAACAATACCAGTTCGATGCTTTTGTTGGTTAAAAATGATTGGCCAAGCTCATTCAGTTGTGGGTAAGAAGTTTTTTTTTTCACTAAAAACTGTTGAATCAAGCGCAAAAAAGATCAACAATATGGAACAAAAACACTCAATTGACTTGCACTGAAGAGTGTTCGAAGAAATGCTGGCACTTTGAAGCAACTGCAGTGGCTTATCTGCTACCGTTTTTACACGATCAACGCCAAAGGGGATTTCCCACATTCGTGCAAAGAAGCGATAAATTCATATTTTCAGCCCGCAGCATCGTGTCACCTGTTCTTTTTATCAAACATAAATTACCGGAATCGTTTGCAGTATTTTCGTCATATTTGGAATTTTTATAGAAAATTTATTCGCTTTTGAAGTCAGGCTAAATCGTTTAACCAACAGGTTTAAGTCAATGTTAAGAAAGATTGAAGATTTGGTTTGATATTGTCAATATGTCATTTGCTCTGTATAACATTTCTTCAGTTCATTTTATATGGAGTTTTTCAATTCATTAACAGCTTCAAAGCTTCAGTTAAACAAAATCAGTGTTTCTATGCATGCACATTGCACAGTGCACACAGAAGTATGCTTTAGCGATTGAATGTTGAAAAATTGATATGAAACACTGGAAACCATTTTGTTCAGTCGAGCAAATATTCAGTGCACAATGATTTAATTTCAAATTGAGGCAGTCAATAAGCACCAAAATCAAATTGTCAGGTCATAATTTGTATTTTGGTAAAGAAATACGCCGTTCAAATTTGCAATTAATTACCTAAACACCGAATTTCGATTTAACTTCTTCAAAGCACATGCTTTCAAAACGCATAATCACTCGCAATGATTTCACTCAGAAAATTGGCGCTTGAGCTGTGTGCATGTGTCGATTAAATTAAGGTCACGAAAACACATTCAATTAATTTGCTGTCAAATTGTTATTCAACCGAATCGTTGCGGATTTTTTCTTCATTCAATCGCTTGGTTGTCGAAGTATTGTCCAATTAGATCGTTATGAACACAGTTGTGTATGCAACTGATTTGCTGCCAAATGCAGTCAGCTCACAAAATGGTATCTCAAAAAAAAAATCTAAAGAATCAACCGAAACAAAGCATATTGTTCTTAACATACCGGGTCGAAGGCGATGTACACTGGTTGGTATGGTTGGGCTGCGCATTCCGGATTTATTGCATGGAAATTTGGTGTCGGTTTCTTGTAAAAAAGCGCCTCTAGTGCGTCGGCCTGTTTGTCCAATGATGCGCATGGCAAAATCACGAAATGATCGATACATCGATCGCATCGAATCGCCGTCCAAGAACGATATCGGATGCTCATATTCCTCCCGACCGTCAACACACAAATAACACAATGAACTGCACAGTAAATAGAATATTAACACCCGAAACACCGTTAACTTCATCTTCAGCATCATTTTGTCAACTGTTTGTTTGTTTTTTTTTTTCACTTTTGTTCTTCGTTCAACTCAGTCCAAACCGTAAATAAAGAGAGAGATAAATATGTGTCATGCGCAATGAGAGATTGCCACTTGAATTGTTTGCCTTCTGTATCTGGGCACTGGTAAAAAATTTCCACTGTTTCTTATTTATGATAATTATTTTGTTTTGTTTTTTGTTTTTGTTTCGGTTGATTGTCGTAAAAATGTTTTTAATCGGTTCGGTTTTACCGTTCAATGGCAAGCATCGTCAAGGTGTGTGTATAATATCTCGCTTTCCGTGATTCTTACGATTGTTTCACTCTATCGCACACGCGTCACACAGAGCACACACCTCACGAATGAATATTTTCTTTTATGAATTTATCAATGAATGTTGTTTTTTTTTCGACGCTGCATCGAAACCACTGTTGATTGAAATTATTCACTGGCTGAATCATATGCGTCTCTTTCGCGTTCGGTTTCCAATGACGAGCATTCAATACACCGTAGAAACAAATGATTTCACCGAATTCTGATATTTTTGATAGTAGATTATGTGTGTGTGTGTGTAGCGTAAAACAAATTTTCAATGTCTACATCCGATATACATCTACGGTTAGGTCTTTCAATGCGTCACCGTCGTATCACACTGTTGGCTGCTGAGAATGGGAGAGAACACGAAAAAGAAAAACGATTAAAATAAAAAAAAATAAAGAAACAACAACAGCAAACAAATCAGAGTGAATTTTGGAATGAGTGAGATTCATGCAAGCTGATACCGATGCGAGTAGTTCAGCTGAAGGCATAGTTAAGCAAATAGCGTTCGTTCGTGTGCTCGTTTCAGCAATTAGTCATTTTGATGATTCGGTTTTTTGGTTGTTTTTTTTCGTAAACGAAGCCATCATTGGGGTAAAACCAACACGACACACACAGAGACACACCGAAACGAAAACGAAAACAGAGAGATAAATTTCAATCAATGTTTCAATGAGCTAAACTACTCATTCAACTTCGGCATCAATCTCCCGTTTCGCACTTATTGTCGCATTTAAGTCTTTCGTTTTGCTTTGTGTGTCACAGAACAAATGCAATGCAATGCGGCCCCAATGCACATTTGTGTGCCAAAATGCAATGGGAATGGGAGTTCTTCTTCTCTCCATTTTTTTGCAATTGCGTAATAAATTTTTCGCGAAAAATCGTAGTAAATCTGATATAACCGTCTTAAGAAGGCCTTTAACATCATTTTGCATGTGCATTGCAATCGACCGATTCGCTGTGTGTCTCTCGATTTGTCGTCGACATCGTCGCAGTCGTTGTCGTCGACAGCCATTCGCCTGAGTACCCCATAAATCGGCGTTTTGCCAAATCAAACATCACAATAAGACACAACACAAAGCCACGAAAAATCTACATTTTTTTTCTCGCTTCTTTGTCGCTGCCTTCTTCTCCGTATTCGTTATGTTTTTGTTTCGCTTGGTTCGACTACAGTCATGATGAGGCAATCCATGTTTCGAGCTAAATATGGAATGGGTTTTTTTTCTTATTCTCAATTGAACAGATTCGATTTCATGCCCGTTGCAAATACACAATCGATTCGAACACGATGCATGATCGTTTTCGACGTGAGCGTCGCGCGATCCCGCACATTTCAAAAGAATACACACACATTCATTTGGATACGAATTTTTTTCAATTGCACTCACTTTCTACTTCAACAACGAAGAGGACGGCGGCAGCGGCGGTGGAGGCGACGATAACTTTTCAATTCAAACGAACCGATATAATTGACAAAACCAGAATGCTCTTACTCTGCAACAGATTCACAACGCTTAGCATCACTTTTCAAGCATTTTCACAATGGAATCCATAGCATTTTTACCACGTAATTCTAGTCAGGTTTTCTGTTTCTAGCTTTCAAAAATGCAACCGCGCAAAATGCATGGCGTGAATTATTAGTCTATCGATACATCATTTCTAACTCAACAAATAAGCTTTCGTTATTGCTATAACACTACGTCCGTGGATTTTTCTTCTTGTTTCTGCTCGCTTGATCTGTGTAATACTTATGGTTGTTGAACTTAATGAAGATCGATGATAAATCAGCCACAATATTTGCTATTTGCGAATATTTTATTTTTCCGTCTTCACTGCCATCGATTCTCATCGTGAACTCCGTTTTCAATGAAATACACGCCGCAGCATTTGCATACACACGAATGAAAGAGGGAAAGAGAGAGAAAAGAAGAAGAAGAATGCAAGGAGAGATAAATGTGTGTCGCTATTATGTTTCGATGCCTACAAAAGCCAAAGTAATGAGCTCGTTCAAAGGTTGCAGGTCATGATGATGAACAGGGGGACGTGCGCATCTTCGTTTGAACGCTTTTTTAAGTGGTCTTAAATGCCGTTTTTGCTCGGAATTAGTGAACATTTTCGATTAAGTAGCGACTTTTCGCCTGGTTCAATCGATTTTTTCGTCGAAAAAAATCAATCACTTATTTAAACTGATCGATTTGCGGTGGAATGAACGATTTTCGGTCTAAAAGCGATTAAAATTTGATTGAAATTTAATTTTGAAGTCATTTCTTGTTCAAATTTTATCATCTTTCACAGAAAAATCATTGACTTTGATCTCAAAATCAACGAATTTCTGTTAAAAATGATTGAAATTGGTTTAAAAAAAAATGGAATTTGGTTTGTTGTGGTGCTAAAATCGTTGAAATCTGCTATTAAGTCAATATTAAATCAATGACACTTTCAAAAAATTATCGTCTTTTCCACCAAAATCATTGAATTCGGTCTTCATTTCTTCGGAAATGTATTCTTTTCCCCTTGAAATATCATCGTCATCAGTCAATTTCACTTCAATTTCAATTCTTTTGGAGGAAAAAGTCCGTTGGAAAAGTGCAAAAATTGAATAAAAACGATTGAGAAAAGTAACTGGATTTGGCTTTTACATTGAAAACAAAATTGATTTCTTCCTCAACGAAAAAAAAAAAGAATTCCGAAATGGAAAAAGGCGTCAAGATCATGTCGATCACCTGAACATTGTAATCGATTCTAAAAACATTTCCATGGAAAAGTCTGTCGCTGTGGGAGTTTAACGTTTCGTCTTAGAAAAAAAGACTAAAGAAAACTTAGAAAATAGACCAAAGAAACCTATGAAATGACCCATTTTCAAAGTCACAGCGAAACACAATGATCATACCTCTACATATTTATATACTGCCTGGCTATTGTGCGAACTTTCAATTTGTCGACCATAAGAAACGGCAAAAAAGCAACGCAAAATTGTCTCTAAAATTAAATTGAGACTATAATTAGACGCGAAAGAGATCATAAAGTGATGTTTGAGCGATGGAGACCCCCTTGGTTTGAATCATTTTAAGCGTTAGATGTTCCATTGCTGCAACATTGAGCCAAAGTTGAAAGATCACATGCGAATTGGTTCAAGCAACCAGCAGCCGAAGCCGTCTCATCGCAATTTCATTGATATTTCAACCGGTGTTGTGTTCAAAGCACACAAATATCTAAGTGTTCAATCGCGCGAAAAAAGATATTTTTTTCGAAGCAAAAAAAAACCGAAATGTCAATTTTAATTGAAATATGGTAATCGTAAAATGGCGCGCGAGATGAATGTGATCGGCGTACGGCGACTATTCTCAAAATACGTACGGTTCAATTCTTGTGCGCAATGTTCGAGAAGGTTATTCGATAGGTATTTTTCTTGTAAATTCGGGGCATGAGCGTGTGCATGCATTTTTGTGTGTGTTTGTTGTTGCGCTGTCGTGACACATTCCACATTTGACAAAAATATTTTCGTTTGCACATCGAACAAGAATGCCAGAGTGTTTTGTTTGCGAATTGTCCGCGCTAAGCAGATCATAAAACAGTGCATTAAACACAAAACGAGGAGCATGATAAAATGAATTGGTGCGCGCAAGTGCGGCCATAAGAACGAAAAGCATGAATTAATGGATTTTAATAACAGTTTTAAAAGTGTTTGAAAGAAGCAAAGAAAAAAAAAATGGAAAAAAAAATTATTAAATCGGCCAACTCGAATCAAGTTGCACATTGAATTATGGCTTCATGCTCTTCGAACCTGTTTCCATGTGATGTTTTGCATCTCACTTCGATGCATGCGCCAGCGATCGTAATCTCTTTTGCACAAACACAATGTGGCTTCTGAATTCTATCTAATTTCAGGTCGCTGCCATTTTTTTCAGCGTCGTCGTCGTCGTCGTTGTTATTCTTGCTTGCACACTCACAAATGGGAATCCGATTTAAAATGGAAATGTCAGCTCGGCGAGCATTCCATATCAAAAGTGGAAACGAGTCCATATGAAATTTTATTCAACCATATTGAAGATCAGGTATTTATTTTAACGCCAAGTGCTGGCATTATATCGACAATTAATGTCGATACGTTAAGTATTAGTCAGCGCCAATTGGTTAGATTCGATTCGATTCAGATCAATTATTCCATTTGAGATGAATAACGCAGCGACCGGTCGATTTTGACCTTTAAAGTGTAACTTACGCACACACTTACACACTGCAAACGCACTGACCCACAAACACCCGAAGTGGAAATTGGTAAAGGGAGCTGCTATGCATCCATCAGTACAAAACGTTTCAGCATCATCATGTCAAAGTCAGCAACCGCTTTAAGCAATTCACACACAAACACACACAAATCAGGGTGCTTCGGCGTTTTTTTCCAGCCCAAACTGACACCGTCTATAATCTGTAATGAAATGGAACGGAAAAATCACCGTCTAATCTAAACCGAAGAAACAAAACGACCGCTCACAACACGTACATAATAAAAAGTTACAACGAAAGACAACAAGCAACGAACAAACGAAAAAAAAATAGCAAAATTATAATGCAAAGAGCGATGAATGCGCTTGCGCGAACACGTTGAAAAATATTAAAAAAAAAAAAACATTACACAGAGCTGAATAATTATGCTAAAATTGCATAATATTTGATAATGACTTTTTTCACTCTGGTGTAAGCGCGCACAAGCCTACAATGTGATCGCCGCTTGTGCGCATATGTTTCTTGAGACAGTTCTGTCGACGCGTGAGAGGCGACGAGAACCAGCGAACGCATTTTACAGCACAAAAGTACTTATTTAGACATTAACTTTTTTTTCTCGTCACTTGAGCCCACTTCATTCGATACGTTCTTTGTCTCATTACCTTCACGTCGAAGTGTGTGCGTGCGTATGTTTGTTTCAGCTCAAATTTTGGCTCTTGCTTTTGTCTATTCATTACATTTCGTGACAATAATGTCGCGATTCTTCGCATTTTTTTGCACAGAATGAATTTTTTTTCGTTTTTTCTACGAATTTTTTTCTTTCCATTTTTGCATAAGATTCTTTCCACATCTCGAGTTTTCTCATTCCACATTTTAGAGTTTTGGTGATTTTTTGACAAAAAAAGAAGAATTTCTTCCATTTTTTTTTTTCATAAAATATGTTTTTTATCTTTCGAAAAAGTGTTTTTGTTAATTTTTTCTTCAAAGTGAAATACTTTTCCATCAAAATGTAATATGACTTTTCGTGAAATATGATTTAGAGCGCATAATATCTAGCGGCAGCGTTGCGAATGAGGCGAAACTGGTTTAATGATAATCAAATCACACGCGATAAAAATGCGCGCAGCGCAAGATGTGTTAATTCGTTATTATGACACATATATATATATATATATATCTATCAGTCTAGGCAAACAAACGAGCCAGCCACATAACGGTGATGATGATGATGACTTAGAGCGCACAATTGTAACAATAACACACGCAATCGCAATATGTGACGTCAAGAAGAGAATGCTTTGCTTACATTTCTCTCTCTCTCTATCTCTTGCTCTCTCTCTTTATGCTTCTCACTCTACCTTCATCTTTCTATGCTTTTTCGTCTCTTTTTGCTCGTCTCCTTTCTCTTGTCTCTTGTCTTCTTCCATGAGGTATCTTCCCTCTCGACTTCACCATTCTCTTCTTTTCCTTCTTCTTCTTCTTCTTCTTCTTCTTCTACTCTGCCTGTGATGATGAGATTGATCATAGGTTCCACCTCTGAAACAACTTCAATTGTGAAATAGTTCTTGATATTTCGTTATGGCGATTGAATCATTTCGTTTTTAGCGGGCCCGCACATAGAAATAAAATCAAGGGCCATTTGTATGCTAACGGTTCAAATTCCATGAAATCGAAAGCGCTAGCGTTCGCTGTGTTGGCTTTAAGAACGGTGATGTGATCTTTCGTGACGCAAAACTGATATAATGCAAACAAAACAAAATCAACATGAAATTTCATTGCCATGTTAGTTAAATATTTTTTGGTGGTCGACTCGAAAGACACTGCCGCATTTCGTCATCCATTTTCACAAGTGGGGAAAGTGTTTTTTTTTTTCGAAAAAAAAAACTCAAAATCAAAAATTATCAACCAAAAATAAGCCGTTTATTGTTTTTCTCCCATTTGAAATGCAAATCGGTCATTTACCGGTCCAATTTCAATGAATTCACTCGCCGATTGCCATCTATTCTTGGATATGTCGAGACATTGACTTGGTGTTGACATTACATTGTCACATTAATTGAAATCCGAAGCATATTTTTCGGTTTGACTATTCAATTCAGGAGCACGTTCGCTCGCACCATGACGTTTGAAAGTTCAATGCTGTGTTAGATTTAAATTACTTCATCACATTAATGCAAGCTCATATTCAACGGTCGATGACCATTTCGAGAACACGCAATCCACACAAATCCGTTATTCTATAATAGGAAATGGACACAGATTTGGCATGACATCACCGTTTTGAACAAACGTTGAAATGCTATTACGTAGTTGCAGTCAACATTGTTTTTGTCAATTGAAGCGATGGACATTCAAATCTTGGAAGTTCTGCCGAAGTTCAATGAAAAAATCAATTGAATTTGAATGGAAGTTTCATCCAATGGAACCAAATGAATTAAATAAAATTGAAATTTAATTGAAAAATTCAATAAAAAAAGAAGACGATTGATCATGAACCATTTGATGATGCGGTAATGCTGTGCGACTGCCAATACAAAATGCATTAAAACCAATTGTTGTTTGTACGTTGAGCGACATTTAATTGTACTCTAAGTCAAAAAGAATAAAAAAACGAAGAATTTAATATACCGGCCTACAATTTGGCATGTAAAAACAATGAAGAGATGCATCGACGATCATGATCGTCAACATTGAATAGAAAATAATCGAAAATTGCTTGAATGATCAACGTTGAATCGAAAAACAATCAAAGCAACATGTAAATTCGCTGAACTCGGTTCTGAGGCCCATAAAAACGTATGTACATGTTGCTCAAATACATCATGTGTTACATCATTGAAGCCTATATGCTTCGGAAGCATTGCTTCCATATACACCTTGATCACTTATGATCAGTACGTCTTCTGATTGCACATCATTTTCAGTTGTTGAGTGTTGTCTTAAGGACAAAATCGGTGCCACACGTGGTTCAATTCAAACATACAAAAAAAAATCTTCGAATCAATTATCTGTTATCGTTTACTTTAGCCCATTCCGAATGACACTGAACGCGAACACAAAATGGTCCATTGAACCGTCGCGCATCAACATGGTGCGTTCAACACCGAAAAAAAAATGTCCATTAAAATATTTCCATTGAATATCGCTTCGACAATGTGCAATTTATGCATGAATCGATGATTCGGTTGGCATTTAAAATGAGCGACGTCATCGTGTTGGCCATTTTTTCCGTTTATCGAAACGAATGTTGTTTGTTTTTAATGTTGTTCCTGAATATGGAACAGAAATGACACTCGGTTAGGGTCTCGAGACAATGTCAAAATCGGTGCGTTACATCCGATTTTCATTTGATTTAAACGGTTTTGGATGGCTGCAAGCGCAAAACACGCACAGAACAAACTGCCTGAAAGCAAATGCAAGCTGCGTGTATCTCTATGGAGAGGCTATAGCTTCTGCTGAAAAGAACGGAAAGTCAAACGCAAAAAATTTCTTTTCATCATAATAAAAAAAAAAATGAAAAAAAACTGTCTCATTCTAAATCGCACCGTGTGATTTCACACTTGTACTACCATACAGCGCATGAACCAAGCAGAAAAAACAAACAAACACACACATTGCTCAGCCTTGAATACAGTGTGTAATTGAATAAGGTTTTCAGTACGACACAAGCGTTTTCTAAGCCAATTGATCTAAATAATTAATGAGAGAAGAGATAGAGAGGGAGAGAAAAAATGTACACGGTATGTTTTATCGCGTTGTTCGCAAGTGGAATGTGATGTAAAGCGAGAATTTCGTGCTTTTCATTTCGCATTTTCAAGCAAAGTCATCAATTCACCTGTGTGATAATTTGTAGTTTGCGATGACGATTCAAAGTCATACACAGCATCGAAGGCAGTTAGGGTGACAGTGCCAACAACAACAGCCAAACGTTCATCTAGCAATGAAACGAAACTTTTCACCTCGCTCATTATCACTGATCAGTTATGATCAGAAATCATGTGCTGCACGGGCCCGTGTAGTGCTTTGGACGAAAACTAATATTGGAATTACGAGAGACGCAAATACGCATCAAATTGAATGAGATGAAGCGAAACGAAATCGATATACTCGCAAACAGACATAGGTTTTCGAAGCATTTTAAGCCAAGGCGTGTACAAATGCAAATATTTCGCGAAAAAAACAACGCGCACACACGACGGTGAGGTTTTATGACTCTCTTTTTTTTTTAGTGATTATTTACTTATTTACGCAGACGATTGGAGATTTGCAAACAACACGAGAGAAGAAAAAAATAACAGAAATTTTTTAAGATAAAATAAAAATGAGTAAGTGCAAGAATTTTGCTTTCACTGCACAAACATCGGGCGACTACTGCAGCCGCAGCAGCAGCGAATATGTGCGAAATTATTCGGCACATTTCCTGTTGACACATTGATCTCGTGGCTTGGCTCTCGTTATGTTGACCAAGCTTTTTCATCGTTAACGCGCGCACGCTGTTGTCTTCGTCGTGTTTTTTTTTTCATCAACATTTAATTTTCGACTAAGTCTTTTCTCTCCTTCGTTTTTGACCAACCATCTATTTGGTGTTTTTTGTGCAGTTTTTTTTGGTGAATTATCCGCGTTAGGCCAAATGGTTTGGCACACTGCATGTAATTGCATAGCCAACAGCAATGCTAGGCATGATGACCAGAATCAAATCGACAACGACAACAGCGGCAAGACATTAGTTCAACACCTTTCGTTAATTTGACGTGTCCGACACTTTTCACGTATCTCATTTGTGGTGCTTTGTTCAAATGATCGCCAATGCACACGCGCACACAATCAATCCTTCATGTTGAGACCGAATATTAGCGAAATAAGGAGAGAAAAAACATAAGTAACGACCAAATATGAGCAATTTTAAAGAAAAACAACTTAATTCGACGAGAAAAAAAGCCATTTCTGGTTCCGTAAAAATCACACTTTTTGTTCTAAGCATTGTTAATTATGTTGTGGCGTTTCGCTACGTGCTTTGCACTTTGCGTACTCGGCGTACACTGTCTTAGGGGCCGAGACTCTTGAAAGCGTTGAAATTGAAACGTTGGTTGAGGGAAACAACTTCTCTCTCTCTCTTTCTCTCTCTCAATCGCCTCTTGGCTTGTCTATTCGCAATGAATTTTCTTTGAAGCAACCGAATGTGGGTCAATGAATTAAAAATGCATCGTTATTTCTTTTGTTGTTGCGCTCTCGCGCCAAGATCTTCTCTCTATCTTCATGCCCACAATTGCACTTTGCCTAGCTGCTTACTCGTTTCCATCACTTTGAAGCGGCATTTGGCATTTTTCACTCAATTCTTCTCGTTTTCTCGCGCCATTCTTCGTTGAATCAAAATCTGTGTTTGAAATATGTGTGTCGTTTTCATTGCAACGCGAAAAATTCGAAATATGTATCGTTTTCTTCTTTGTCGAACGACGACGACAGCAGCAGCATCAACGGCTGATTAAACTTGAGTCACGCTCAGACATCATAAAAACAATTACATAAATTGAGACATTTTTATCTGCGCTTGTTGTTTAATCCAAAATCCATTGTATGTGCTGACGAGTGCGCACACGTGTGCGCGCTCGATGACATCGAAATATATAGCAGCAGCAGCATCATTATATGGTTTCGGAATGTCTGTTTCTCGGCTGACCATCAACCATTGGACCAAGCGCTCTGAGCAAATGCCATACATCACCTTTGAAAAATTTCGGTCGAAAATTGTGCCGTTAGCATTTATGGCTCTGGCCCGTTCAATGCAAGCAAATATATCATTCAATTTCCATTTACTCAAATATTGACACACACACACACGAAGAAATGACACCGTGCATTGCGTTTTGACCCAACGAAAGAAAAACAATGGAACCACCACTTCTTTTCTCTCGCTCGTCTTTGAACACATGTTTTCGAACAACGAAATCAACGATTTCAACGTTTTCATTTAAATGCAAACTTGTATAAGCAACACTTGCAGAGAGTGAGACACACACAGAGAAGTAACCAAAGCCATTTTAATATGCACAGCATATTATCACTAGCCAAATATTTTGCAAGCAATTACATTTTTTGTCCTAATCTCATGACAATGTTCGAACGAAGAGAGAAAAACACAAGAAATGTTGGTCATCTACGATGCCGGCGCAAGATCAGTTTCACACTCGATTTTCATGATGGTTTTTTTCGCTGTTGGACATTTTTTTTACCTACCCAATTTCGACAATTTTAACACCGGATTCTCATCGTACACCGCACTTTTTCTTATTCAAACTGTTTTTTTTCTCGTTAAATTTCGACGAAAATTTGCCAAATTCCATGAAATTGACACACAATTTCTTTAAAATACAATTTTGAACACACAATTTGCGACACAAACCGAAATTTTACGATTCTTTTCCCGTCAAATTGGTGTCTCCGGCTTAAAAAAAATGAATTCTTCTATTTCTTTTCAATTATTTGTTGACTTTTTTTGGTCGTTTTATTCAAATTTGATTTTTATTCATTTGATTGACGAAAAATTCGTTGAATAAATTAGAAAAAAAAAGGAATATTTTCACTGATTTTGAGTTTTTCTTTTAAGTTTATTCGATTGGACGGTGAAAACAAATAATAAAAATAACTTGTTCAACTTGAATTCATCGAAATAGAAGAAGATTCCTTAAATTCTTTCAAAAGAACGTGCTTTTTTCTTTTAATTGTAATTTTAAATTTTATTTTATGTCACATTTGCATTCAATATTTTGTTTACATTTATTTAATTCTCTTTCAAGTCAATAAATTGCTCGATAATTTCTTAAAACGTTTTCCATTTGATTACTCATGATTTTAATCGTTCCATTTTCATGCTCACTTTTGTTCTTTGTTTATATTGCCGGAGTCCAAAAGTATCCTCTTATGATGGAAATACAGAACCGATTTGTCTTTGTCTTGAATCAAGTCTTTGCCTTTAATTCTGGATTTAAATTTCAATGATTATTGATTCGAGCGAATCGAGGACAAAACTGCGAATAAAACGGTTTAAATTCATTTTCTTCTTCTGTTCATTTGAGTTGAAAATCTTAGTTCCAACTGTCAAAAATTAATCAAACTGTGTCCATAAAAATCGAAGTGAAAAATGTCGAAGTGTCAAAACTCGCGCACAATTGCCAGCCACACTGAATTGGTCAATCACATCGGATGTGTTCCTTGTGATTAATCAAAAATGGTTTTTGTCACGACCTTTGAAAACGGCCACTGAACAAGAACATCTGCCTGAACACTCACTTTCTATTTTAATTTTAGTCTTTGTTGTTGTCGGTTTTTATCACGATCCCAAAGAAAACGTGTCTAATCTTATTGATTTCGAAAAAACCACAAACCAAACCGAAAAAAATCGATAAATTTTGTGAAACTGGATTCGAACTGAAAATAATGCAACAACCACGACGAACTTGTTCCGATAGAGAGAATGTACTGAGAGTGTGTTTTTTTGTTTGTTCGGTGAGTGATCTCGTACGAACGCGACGATCAAGTTGTGACTGCAGGTTCTGGTTGCCGCACAACCAATGTATATCCACTCGTAGATAGTGCAAACACACGGGCTAGCTTATGTTGGAAAAATGCTAAGCGCGCAACGGCAACAACAACACACCAAAGCCGAATTGAAGCATGTGAAGTTAAATTGAACATGAAAAAGACGATGAACGAACAAACAAACGGAATGAAAAGAGCAACAACAACAACAACAACAACAACAACGGCAGCAGCGGCAGCAGCGGCAGCAACACGTTGAATGGTAAACTTTACACACTGACACACAAACTATTCTTGTTTGTGCTATTCGTTCGGGGCTTTGAGTTTCTTGATTCTGTGCGTCTCGTGTGCAGCATGTGCGACGAGCTATGAGCTCGCTTTGGCCTAAGCGCTGTGCCAAACCCAGTACACACACATGGTCTTGGTTGCACAGCGCAAGTGTATGGTCGCACACTACTTTTCCCCACCGGCAAAAAAAAACCGATGAAGTCGTCATCAAATGTATTCATCAAATGGGAAATAATGGAATGAAAAGGAACGATGCATTCATACCTCTCGGAAATGGAACGCTTGTTGTTGTTGTTGTTATTGGAGAGTAGATTGAAATTGATGACGATTTCGATCGAGAATTTGGTCTTCTTCAATCAAGACTTGATTTCTTCCCATTCCCTTGGGTTCCTTCCCAACAGAATGTCGATTTTGAATTAAAAGTTTCGCAAATTTTGTTTGCGATTTGTTCGACATAAAAATTGGCCGTTATTTGGTTAAGTCGAAATTGAAGGCAAGCTATCGCGTGGTTTTCAATAAACAGTATTTGAAATGGGATTGAAATTGGATGTGCTGCCGCGGCAATGCTGCGATAAAAAGCAGAAAAATGTAAAAATAAATAAATAATAAAAGCAATAAAATGCGGTAAAACGGATCGCAATGTAAAAAAGGAGTATTAATTGAAATTGGCATCGAAATTTGCTGAGAATCTCAGCCGAAGATGATATCAATGGCAAACAAACAAATCGACCGCAAGGTGAAAAGTCTATTTCAACGGTTTGAAAATATGTTTTCCTTTTTTTAAGTTCGGAATGAGTAGGGTTTAGGTTTTGATTCGATTAGACTTTTGACTTTCATTCGTCAGACAGAATTCGACGCACTAATGATTAACGGTTTATGCAAAACGTAAAAAATCATTATCTGTCGATAAATTAGTGCGATTTATTGGTTGATATTCGATTCATTGTGAATCTAGTTTCGATTCGATCCGGGTGCGTGCGCTTCGAATCATTCACCGGAAATGGATGGATTTATCGGTTTTAGAATGAGTAGCTCATCAATTGAGACGTTTGAATGGTGCGGAAAGTGTAATGGGGCCGTGTAGCCTTGTGCATTTCTTTGAGCATCTTCATTTTTCAAATGATTTTCAATGTAATTCAAATCGGCTTGGAAAACGTGGCAACCTTCATATCAACTAACAAGAGATAGAGATAGATCGGTGGTCCACCGAACAAACGTGGCGACGATACATGATTTACGACGCAAATCAAGTGTGGATGACTCCTCCTGACCGCGTCCACGACCATCCAAAAACGGTTCATTTCCGTCATTAACAATAGCAACGAGCGGCGGCCAAACAAACAATTAACGTTTAATTACTGAAAAACATAAATTAATGCATGCAACAGCACTGAGACCATCAGTTTAGATTTTGCTCCACACATGCGCACGCACACGTTCATAGGCTGGTTGTTTTTGGGCAAAAGCCCTAATTATGCGTCTCGCTGTTCTTAAAAACGATCATCGACATTTAAAAGACAAGATCAAGGATGAGCCGAGAGTGAGTGAGCGAGCGAGAGAGCGACAGAGATCGAGAGACACATTTTAGACGCAATTTTTTCGGCTCGTTCCGTTTCCGCGCGACACACAGAAACAAACACACCGCAGTGAAATGAAACGAAACGAAGTGAAGTGAAAGAGATCGAGAAAAAAAAATTAAATTAAATGTAATGATTACGATGTTGATATGGTGAGCAAAGCAGTGCGATATGTGTGTTACATATATGAGTGTGAGCGCGAGCGCTTCAAGCAGCTCACGCGCACGCACACACAGAGTTCACATGAGTTTATGGCGATTTTGTAAACGGTTACGAATCTGTCAGTCCTTGGTCAATAATGACACATGCCTTCAATAAATCTTTTAACTTGTACCACGTTTCGTTGTAACGAAAACAAAATATTGTGTAATTGCTCGCTGATAATATTTAAGCGAAAAAAAACGAAAAAAATATTATGCTACACAAGCGCAACCACAATTATTACGAATTGTTTTAAAACAATAACCAGATTAATGTTTTACATATACACCGCAATGAAATCGAGGGAAGGCAGAAAGAGAGAGAGACAAACAGTATGCCAATTAAACGATGTTCAAGCGAAATTCTTGGTTTTGTTCACCACTTCCTACAAATGCCTACTATTACGACCGATTGTGCGCTTGTGGCTAGGTTTTGAGCTTGACCGGCTCAAAACTAACAGCAATTTGCGGTTCAAATGATGTACAGCGTATGTACTTCGAACTCGTCTTCATTGTTCTTTTTTTGTTTTTTTGGAAATGGCAATGTCAACCCAATTACCCTTGCAATGACCATCTTTTTAACTTCTTGCTTTTTTCGACCAAAAATGTGATAATGACACATGCACAACGATTATTCTTCACCTCAAGACGTTGGCAAATTATGAAATAGATTTTAAAAAAATTATTGCTTTATCAACATTTAGTCAATTGGGGTTAATAATAAGAATTTTATCGTTGAATCGGTTTCGGTTTTTGACGACGGTTTTCTTTCTTTTGTTATCCATTCGAGTATTTTTCATTGAGATATGTTTTACTCATGTGTGGAGTTAGAACATAAATTCGAGACAAATTTGATACACTTGAGATGTATGTTTGCTGTAGATATTTTTTTATCGGCAGAACAAAAATCAAAAGGAAAAATTGTTTGGTTTATCAATCATTTGAATTCTATTTGATAATCGTGTGCATTTACGAACATTTTTTCCTGAGACTTGCGACATATTAACCATAGTTTTTTTTACATATGCTGAGTATATGCTGCAATCCAACAATTTGATTGGATTATATTTGAAGTTCAGTGTTTTCAATTTGGAATTCGTTTTAAAAGTGTCTTTTTGAATCTCTTCAATTTTATCATCACTTAAATCGAGTACTTCTAAATCGGAAAGCCCCATAAAAAAAACCGATTCTTCTTTGATTAGATTATGCGAAATGTTTAATGTTTATTGTTGATGGCTTGGGCACATTTAAAAATGTCGAATTGTGAAGTTCTTTGATTTGGTTGTGCGAAAAGTCCACATTCGTCAATTGCTTCGTGTTATCAAATAGAGAAGCGTGCACTTCCGTTAAATTATTGTAAGACACATTAAACCGTATCAATCGTTCGAAATTTGAATATAAGTAGCCTAATTTCGTATAGTTTGTAAACGAAATGTCTAACGTCTGCCCATTTCGACACCCAATTAATTTGGACCCGATTGATTCGGCAGGGCAGTTCTGAATTTAAAGCTCTTTCACTTTTAAATAATCACACACAGAAGAAAAACTATTAAATGATTCATAGCAAACAATGTGTCGTGATTCATTGTTATTGATATGAAATTCTCCATGAACATAAATACATTCTTCTTCCTGAGTATGCATCACTATTGTCAAAATTAAAATCACTGCGCAAGCTATTGAAGGTCTCATTTTGTCAAACAGGAACAGTACACGAAATTCGGCAATTCGGACCAAATATGAAATCGAAACTAAACAGGAACAGAGATGACCGAACGCACGCACAGTAGCGAATTGTAGTTGTTTTCTGCTCCGTGCGTTTACACGCACCTTCTAGAAGAATCAGTGCGCGCACTGGCTCAATTTTGCAACTATCATTTTTGGTGATTTTTCTTCTAAATCTAATATAAACATGACTCCGGCGCACTTTGGAAAAAAACTACTCGTTTTCGGTCGTGTTACAAGCACTGAGCATGTTTAACGCACCCAAATTCAGTTGCGGTGCGGCCGCTGCCCAGTCACTCGGTGCGCTTCAGTCATCTCTGAGCAGGAATCTCATTTATTGTTTCCTTTTGTATGCTCTAATTGTATATAGTAAGCCAGGCTTTCGTTTATCAATTCCAAGAGAAATTTTTGCTTGATAAATTTGTGTATATTACTTTGTAAAAATGTAAAAAGTTAAAATCTCAGTGAATCATTTAGTTCTATTTATACATTTTTTTCGCCAAATAAGGAGCTTTCTACTGAATATATTCGAAATGCTCAATTCAAGGGGGAAAGTACTAGATTTGTATAATTTAAATAATGCAATCTAGTACAAAAATAATCCCAAACAATCCTTCGGAATTCTCAATAATGCTATTCATAATATCAATAAATAATAGCGAACTATGGTCAAGTAATTTATGCTTGCGTGCATTTGAATGCCTTGAAAATCAAGTGGGTCGATAGTAGATATGAATTGGTGAGACCTAGAAGAACACAAGTTTGTCAAACGTCGTAGCAATAAAGAGAAATATATTTTACTGCAACTAACAATGGTTGAAAGAATGTATGTTCATTTTTGGCGGGTCGTCCCGGTTTTTCACGGTTTCCTCGTAACTGATTGGAGATAACAACTAGTTGTCTTCGGAAAAGTTGTAGTACTCAAGTTCTTCTATAACATTGCTGAAGACAATTATCTCTTATCTCTTATCAACTGGGCGCAAATCAGAAACATCGGCCTATGGCATGTTTTTTTTATCATCCTTCGCGTTTTCTGCGAAACTCATAGGAGATGAGTGGGAACTGTCTGAAGCAAAGTTGCGAGAGACCTCAAGCACTATAAATTTGCTGAAGACACCGAGCATCTATCTTTTATCAATTCAGCGAAAAACACGAATTTTGTTGTACAATTGCGATTTTTTGCGTTTTTCGATGAACTAATAAGAGATGACGACTTGGCGTCTTCAACAAATTTATAGTGCTTGAAGCCTTTCGCAACTTTGCTTCAGACAGTTCCCACTCATCTCCTATGAGAATAGCATTATTGAGCATTATTGAGAATTCCGAAGGATTATTCTAGGGGCAATTCACAAACTGCGAATGGTGCCAGTTGTGCGAATGGTCGAATGATAGTACGTGCATTTAGATACAAACATTTGCAAATGCTACGAATGCGTGTGAATGCGAATGGAACCATTCAATGTATTTAAATACAAGCATTCGCGAATGTTCGCAAATGGTTACGAATGGCATTGCAAATGAGTGTGCTATTCAAATGAGTAGCATTGCGAATGCACGGATCCAACCAGAACTGAACGAAATTTCAAAACACTGCAAATCCAAGTCGTTAAAATGGTAAACAGAACATTATTGAGGCTAATTTAATATAAAAATTATATCATACATTTTATTTTTAGGGCCTCGAAAAACTTTTTTCTGAATTAGTGAAATTTTCCAATAATACAATTCCAGTTGATATCAAAATAATTTTGGAAATAAGTGCGTTTGACACAGAGTCATCGCTAATGTTAATTGACCGTGAAATTATCAACGATATTGAAGAATTTGTGAACGAAAATTTGAAAAAAAACTTAAAAATACTTCGTTTAAAAAATACTGTTTTACACTGATTTTGTTTTTTATTTATGGTGGAGCGATTCAAGACATTTAGTATGGACAAAATTAATGAATTATTTGCCAGACAATATTCGTATGCCGTATCTTTCAAATAAAATTTATATTCGTTTATAAATTCGTCTATATCGCTAATGCTTTTAGAATCAATGGATAACAGAGCAGCTTCGCATTCAAATCCAGCACTTATTATGATTTTTTCTAAATTTGCCGGTAGTTTTTCGCCCAATTTCTTTTCTAATATCTGAAACACATGTGAACTCATTGCTTATGACGTTTGAGTGAACACAAGTATTCGTAGCCATTCGCGAATGTGTTAATACATTCACTATGGAGCGTCGCGCGAATGATCGCACGGCACTCCGAATACATGGCGAAACAGGCACGAATGCCTCTTGTTCTGCGAATGGCAATGGCATTCGCGAATGTGAATTGCCCCTAGGGATTATTTGGGATTATTTTTGTACTAGATTGCATTATTTGAATTATACAAATCTAGTACTTTCCCCCTTGGCTCAATTTCTTGTTCCAAAATATTTCTGATAAAATTTGATGTGTCAGTTTTTGGAATCTAAGGAATTTCCGTTGATTTCGACCATTCAACAGTTCACTGTTGCGTCACACTTCTGGCGTTTCCTTGTTCGGTTCAAATACAGTATCACGAATAGAAACGTTTCCGTTAGATTTATCGAAAAATGATTCCATTTCAGTTGTCAACAATGAACAATTTGAAGAAGAAAAAAACGAGAAATATTCCAAAGAATTGTTTTTTTAAGATTGAGGTTGAAGTGTGTCACTACTAATTGAAAACAAAAACTTCCAATCTATTCATTTCATTAATGTTTTGATCCATAATGTCACAGCAAACATTCTGAAAAAAATTAGTAATATTCTTTTTGTAAAATTAACTACTCTCTGGAAGATTTTTAATTTGGTTGAATTTGCACTGGAATCTACAAAAAATACCTAGTCGTCCATTTGAGATATGTTCACAATTGTGTTGTTGATAGTCAAAATCGGAATACAAAAGTGTTTTAACTGAAGCGATCGAATATGTTTTGAAATTGTACAATTTTTGTGACAACTTTCGGCCAACAAACTGCTAGTGAATACACATGGAATGACAAAGAATTGAGTGTGACGACGCATGTTACGAAATTGTTCTTTTTTATCAAAAAACCAAACGCAATGCACACAAGCTCGAAATGTTCGGATTATTCGTTATCATTTGTTCGTTTTCTCGCTCCATTTTGTAGATAAGTTGCTACCATAGGACATTTGATAACTTTATAATAGAAATAATTCTGATGACTGTGAATTCTAGAATGTTTTGATTCATCATATTCCTTGGATTTTAATGGCTGAAAATCCGTATTTTCTCCTGTTTTGCTTCCAAAATACTGAATCCTCCCAATTGCATAACACGAGAAATGATTGGTGAACGGAACACATCCATTATTCCACTCTACGAAAAATCTTTGGAAATGGCTAAAGACATGTAGTATAGACCTGATCGCTTCATCAAATCATTTGAAAAACAAATACAAAAAGGTCATCAAAAAAGGACATATAAAGCGACGATTGGAGCTTGTAAATTCAAGGGGTTTAATTAATTTGATGTTTCTCATCAAATTATTATCGTAAGCACTACATGGAATGTAGTTTTAATCGTAGTATGTATGCAAAGCATTTTCATATTGTTAACAATAATCAAAAAAATTTATATGATAAAATTGTATTCTTCAATTATTGTTTTAATGTTCGTTCAATGTGAATGGTCATCGTACATTATTTCACAGTAGTCAAATCTTTTTTCTCGAGTCATCTCAAAATTGAATTACATGAACATGATATTATTTCATTTTTGCAATTAGGCGCAATTGCTTCATTTGAAATAAAAAATATGGATATTAAAATGAATTAGTTTACGGTCCAAAAAAATGGCCTAAAGACTCTTAAAATTTTCTCGGGAAAAAACAACCCGGGTAGCCTACATTCCATGTAGTGCTAAAAAGAAAAATGATGAAAAAACATAGCAAATTTCTGGAAAAAAAATTGCCTCCTTTGGAAAATGAAACACACCCAATTCGTCCATTTGCTTATGTGCACAATTTGCGAAAAAGGTCCTTTTTTTATTAATACAAATCTTATAAATAATTCTAGGATAGATTTTTCTCCCTTCCTCCCTCTTCCACGTACGTTTCAATGGCGAAAGAAAAATAAAGAGCGCGCTTTCGATTCGGCCAATCTACTTGAATGAGAAGGTGAGTTTTTTTCTTTTTGGATGCGTTCGGATGTCTGACAAATACTCGCGTTGGTTTGAACTGTATCGTACGTCGATGATGTTATTAATTTTCTCAACAATCTTGGCTCGACCCGTTCAAATTGCTTTCCGAAACGAGCCGGCTATCCCGTCGCATCACGGGATCCATATTTTTGCATTCGACCATCACCAGATGGCTGAATCGAAAATTTGGACATGGTTCATGTAGATCCAACGCTGAAGAATTTCATGTTGTCCGCCTAAGAATCCTTATTTTCTCAACTCTTAAAAAGATAGAATATAAATTAATCATTGAGTCTTGAGTTGCTTACGCATGAAATGTAAATTACGTTTTGAGGTTGAGTTCCACGATCACGATTGACCAACTTGTCATAGTTTGGGTTTGCTGCTGATATTGGCATGTGATTGAGGTGGTCATAAGTTTGTTCCCGTTCTTCGATTTCGTAGTAAATATGATCTTCCGAGTTTGACTCTGGCAACGGTTGTGGCACTGGTTGTAGCTCGTCGCCATTGTCATTTCGGCGGTAAGAAACTTCCATTTGTTCGCTGTTTTTCGAAGATGATTTCCAACGAAGGAAGACAACGACGGCTACAATGATGATGATTAGCGCAGACACACCAATCTTAACTGCATACGAAACGCCATCATTGTGTTGAAATTGACTGCACCGATCTCCGATTATCTCTAGTCTTTCCCATTCTTCCTTTAACATGGATAGGTTGGTGCATTCTAAATTGTGATTTGTGATATCCAATTTGATGAGTTTTGGATAAGAATGCTTAGTAAGACCTTCCAGTTGTGTTAGATGATTTTCACCCAAATTAATTTCTTCTAAGATCCACGAATAAAATGAAGTGAAATTCAATTTTTTTAAATTGTTATTGGAGATATCAAGGTACTTCAACCACGGCCAATTTTCAAACGGTTTAAAAGTAGAAATTGATAAATTTGTACGTCGCAGTGAAAGCCGTGAAATATCCCTGGTTTTTGAAAATGTAGTTTCGTTCAATTGTCCCACATAATTCCCAGAAATATCCAGATGGTATAGATTTGATCCCAAATATTGTATGATTTCAGCTGTATTTTCGAAATCATTGTCAGCTGCGTAAAAGTAGTTTAAACTATACAAAGTTTTTGACAGTAATGTCACATTCAATCGCTTCAAATTGTTTTGTGAAATGTCTAATGCGTAGATAGATTCCATTGGATTCACATCAAAATGTTCCAAATGTGTGTGTGACAAATTTAACCATTGCAAATACTTCAAATGTGCAAATGTACTGAGATTCAATGTTCCGATGAAATTCTGAGAGAGGTCCAATGTCCGCAGATTTGACGCGAGACTGTGTATGATTTCTAGACCATTGTCAAAGTGATTTCCAGCCGCTCCGAACTCTTCCAAATTACTCAAAGTTGAAAGTAAGCTCACATTCAGTGTTGTTAAATTGTTGTGGGACATATCGAGATACTCCAGTTTGTTAAGATGCTCGAAGGGATTAGATCCAGCAGCGAATGCGAGGTTTGTTTCACTTACATTCAATCTTTCCAAACTGTCCAAATCATGAAATGCTGTCCCATTTACTTTCCCCAACATGTTTCCACTTAAATCCAACTCCCGAATCGATTCTCCCAACATATTTACTATGCCTAGCGCGGTCTGCAATCGATTTCCGCGGATACAGAGTGCGCCTAAATTTTTGAAGTTCGTCTTAAGATATCGGAGCTCAATTTTGTTGTTTGCATTTTTAAAAATTATTTCTTCTTCATTCATTGCCCATTCTATATGGTTCGCACAAGATAAATCGAAATCAGTAACTCTTTCGAATGACATGTTTATTGAAGTCACGCCATTCAGTAACTGTATAATGCCACAATCTAATCGCTTTATTGGATTATTTTTGAGGTTCAGTGTTTTTAATTTGGAATTCTTTAAAAAAGTGTCTTCTGGAATTTCCACAAATTTATTATCACTTAGGTTGAGCTCTTCTAAATCGGAAAGCCCACTAAATAAACCCGAATCTATTTTGTAGATTTGATTATGCGAAATGTTTATGGTTGATAGCTTGGGCACTTTTGAAAATGTCAATTTGTGAAGTTTTTTGATTTGGTTGTGCGAAAAGTCCACTTCCTTCAGCTGTGTTGTGTTCTCAAATAGATATTCGTGCACTTCCGTTAAATTATTGTGAGACACATTAAACCGCTTCAAGTGTTCGAAATTTAAATGTAAATAGCCCAATGTCGTATAGCTTGAAAACGACATGTCTAAGGTGCGCACATGTTGATACTCAATAAATTTGGACTCGATCCATTCGGCAGAGCAATTCTGAATTTTTAACACTTCGACAAAAGAGACATGACAATCACTGAACGTTCTTCGTTCGAAATTGTAGCAAACAACGTATCGAGATTTATAGTTGTCAATATAAATTTTTACATAAAGATCAAAAAAATCAATACAATCTTCTCGAATAGCCACCACTTTGACCAAAATCAAAATCCACACACAAGCTATAACAAACTTCATTTTGTTTAAAAGGAACCGAACACGGAATTCACCCTTTTCAGACCAAGTATAAAATTGAAACTAAGCAGGAATCTCATTTATTGTTCCCTTTTGTATATTTCCATTGTATATTTAGTAAGCAAGGCTTTCGTTTATCAATCCCAAGAGAAACTGTTGCTTGATAATTTTTAAAATGTCGCAAGCTAAGAACTCAGTGAATAATTTAGTTTTCTTCATGACACATTCCGCCATAAAAGCAGTTTTTTACAGATTTTATTCCGTAATGCCCAATTTTTCATGTTCCAAAATATTGATGATAAAATTTGATGTGGCTATTTTTGGAATCTAAGGGATTTCCGTTGATTTCGTCCATTCAACAGTTCACCGTTGCATCACACTTCTGGCGTTTCCTTCTTCAGTTCTACAGCATCAAAATAAGAAAGGTTTCCGTTGGTTTTATCAAAAAATGATTTCATTTCAGTTATCAACGACAAATAATTTCAAAGAAAAAAACGAAAATAATTTCCACGAATAAGGTTGCTCATGAAGTGTGTCACTACTTGTTAAAAACAAACACGATATTCATTTTATCATTGTTTCTATCCATTATCTTGAGATAAAAATTCTGAAAAAACAAGTAATCTTTTTACTTGTAAAATTAACTTTTCTGTATGATTTGTAATTCTGCTGAAGTTGCAATAGAATCTACAATCAATTAACAAAAAATACCTCATTGTCCATTTGAGACATGACCACAATTATTTCAATAAAACATATTGGACTAATGGAACCAGACGTCACTCACAAACATTATTATCCGATTGAATATTTTTATGCGATATTTGTGATGCGTTCACGAAGGGACACACAGAATGCACACTTGCACAGTCAGTCCGCTGTGGATATTGATATTTGTTAGCGAGTTCTGAATCGAACAAAACAAATCACATTATCCATGCAGTTATGCTGCATTTGGTGCAGAAAAATATCTGACAGTAGTTCTTTGTTTACATCGCTTTGGTGAAAACGGAAGGCATTGAACGTCATCGAAATAAAATGAGTTTTTTTATCCGTTACATTTTGTAAACTGAAATTATGAAATAAAAAGCGTTCATGCTGCCAGTGTGTGTTGAACGAATGTTTCAATGGCATTGAAGCCTTCGAAACCTTCATATTGCCTACTTTCAGGAACTTTCTCCAGCCAAATGTTAAAACCAATGATTTATTTTCGTACCAAAAGTATCGATTTATATTTAAATATTGAAATTCAACAATGAAAACTTGATCGAAATCAGTTGTTTTGCTTTGATTGTGTGTGACTTGCGTTGATTAATTCACAGTTTGGCCTAGTGCATTGATTCTATAAAAAAAGTAGAAAATAAAACGATTGAAATTATTTTCGGAATTTCGTACATGGTATTTAACATCGGCGTGACATGCTTCATACAAACGGAATTTCGTACAAGCAGCGCCCGTGTACTTCGTAGTGGAAAAAAAGTGAAGCTTGCTTGTCACCAATATTGATGTTCACGAACATCAAATTGTTTATGCGTTATTTCGCCCATTTTATGAACTGGAAATGAAAAGTTCTTCAATTTCTAGCAAATTTCACATATGAATTCATAAACACATCGAGAAAACACAACTTTTTTTCACATAAAAAGCAAAAGCAAGATGATTTTATCGTTGATGGTTGTTCGATCCTGGATCGTTTGTGATTCATTAATGATTTGCAACACATCCATTTTTGATTTCGATATTCCAACTGAATACGATGTTTTGTATTCATTAAACAATTCCATTTTGATCACAAAATAATTTTTTATTAAAATGGCTATGACGAAAAACCACGCGAACGATTGCAAACGATAGCACAAACATTAATGTCTAGGAACATCAAATACGGAAGATTAATGATTTTATCATTCAATTTCTTCCTTTGGCGTCGATTTCGCAAACAATGGGACGGTTGATTGATTTTGTCATGTCGATTTAGGCCCCAATGCTTGATGCCTTCCAAATGTTTTTCGATTACACTGCGTTTGCCCTTATTGGAATGTTGAATGGCAAAATTTAAATTATCACGGAAATTAGTTTGTCTTCTTAGACATCGGTGGTGGGCACTGGGCACTTCGTCGGTCGATTCGGGGAACATCAGCAAACCGGCAGGCTGAAAATTATTTTATGTTCGATTAAATGCGTTCGATTAATTGTTTGTCGCCAATAACAAATTATATTACATTCAAAGTTGATTTTTGAAGATATCTTTTATAAATGTATACTTAAAAATCACAATAGAGATTTTATTTGGAATGAAACAATAAAATACAAAAAAATTACCGTTTTTATTCTGGAAAAATATAAAACTTGCAGATTAGATCAACACAAAATGTTTGTTTGCTTGTATTTTTATTTATTTTGTTTTGTTGCTTCACATCGGCGAATTAATTTGACATTTGTGTCGAACTTCAAGTCAGTGTTTCCCGATGAATTCGCTTTGACAATAATGTCAATTCGAATTTGATGTTCCTAGACATTAATGTTTGTGCTATCGTTTGCAATCGTTCGCGTGGTTTTTCGTCACAGCCATTTCAATAAAAAATTATTTTCTGATCAAAATGGAATTGTTTAATGAATACAAAACATCGTATTCAGTTGGAATATCGAAATCAAAAATGGATGTGTTGCAAATCGTTGATGAATCACAAACGATCCAGGATCGAACAACCATCAACGAAAAAATCATCTTGCTTATGCTTTTTATGTGAAAAAATAGTTGTGTTTTCTCGATGTGTTTATGAATTCATATGTGAAATTTGCTAGAAATTGAAGAACTTTTTATTTCCAGTGCATAAAGTGGGCGAAATAACGCATAAACAATTTGATGTTCGTGAACATCAATATTGGTGACAAGCAAGCTTCACTTTTTTTCCACTACGAAGTACACGGGCGCTGTACCCATGTGGCTGCATGTCACGCCCATGGTATTTAACTAGGTGGTAATTAACAAATGTTGAAAATGCACCAAATACTAACTTTGTTTTCCACTATATGGGGCGGAGTTAGCACGTGGAATGGGCTCATCTTTTGTGTAATGAGGAGCGAATGCGTCATGTTTTGTTCTATTCACCGTTTGGAGAACGGTATATTGGTTGAGATCTTTCAGCAAGTCGCCGATTGTAAGTTTACGCGTTGGTTTGCTTTTCCTGATTTGTTCGAAATCACTATCAACGTATGGATCCATATGGTCAGGCACCGGAAAACCGCTCGGGTCATTCTTAACCGAAGCAACTGAGATGGCACCTGTGGTAAATGCATTTGATACATGATGTCCAAAGCATTCAATTTAAATTAAGAGATAAAACGATAAGCTATTTACCGAGCTGACTATCAGAGAATCGAAGTAAAAATGTGCCGGGTGCACAATTGCGAAGCTTTTCCCACGCTTCATCTTTACTAATGAAGCCTTCGATGAGTCCAGCTCCCCATTCTTCCCTGAGATATAATCGCACCAGTTTCGTAACATCGTGGAACCAAGCAAAAAATGTAAAATCTTGGCTTTTTGCTTTGCCAAATTCATTCCATGAGACCGGACGGTCGGTTGACACAGTGGATGGATTAGTTTTGAACAACTTTTTGTCTATCGACGAAAATCGGAAATATATTTGATAAAAAATTCGAAAAGGTATCAAGGTTTTGCAAAAAGCAATCCAAATGATAGTTACACAAGTAATTCGTGTGTTGTTCAGTCAAGCTGTGGCCCGTTTGATAGTAGAATCTTGTGAATAGAACCATTTTCACATGTGACCATGGCACACTTTCGGGAACGTCGAACGGATCTCGGCCAATTTCAAAGAACGAATTGTCCCATGTGATGGTTGCCCAACCGTCTGCATCTTGACTTACGTTCGTTGTGACCGTGACTGGCAACGATGTTGTCCAAATCTAATGAATATTTAATCGTTTTTCGTCAGTAATAATGTGAGTCCAATGTTCTTCAAGTTTATAAAAGTAAATTTACATCAATTAGATTTGGATGGCCTTTAATCGTTAATGTGCAGTGGAATCGTAGTGCAAATTTATCATCCATCACATCTTTCTTTTTGATCCGCTTGATTTTCAACTTTAAATCCTTCAAATTGCACTCCAAACTCAGCAACTGCGATTCAAATGCCGTGTCTGTGTATCTGATTTCTGCCCATTTCTCATCGAACGAAGTTAATTGTTGCTTGTTTTCTTCTTGCTCTTTATGGTGCTGGTGCTGTGTTTTCACTTGCGACTCTGTACAACAATTGAAATCAATGAAAAATTTGATGATTTGAATTTCAAACGTTCAAATTTTGAAAGGAAAAATCTTACGGCGAAAAACACCATTCAAAACTCACCGGATACAACCCACACCAATGGATTGCTAATGGATGCAATGTATCTGGTTAAAAGAACACGCACGATCGCCTCAAATCTGTGAATTGAATAATTCAAACGATTTTCTTCATATAGATAAACCAATCTGATCCATTTTTATCCTAATGCTGCTCGCGAACCGAATTCGAACAGTTCGAGTTCAATTTTTGTGTTCGTGTTCGTTGGAGATCGGTTCGAACTGTTCGAAAAGAAAATTGTTCGTGATCACCTTTAATCAAAAGGCACGCACAGTACATAAGAGCCAATGCAAAAGTCAATTGATGCGCATAAGTAGCGCCACCTCTAATGATTACGGAGATGTTGAGAAAAAGAAGAAGAAGTAGACATTGATTCATTTACATGGCAATAATGGCAATCAGTAGAGATGGTGCTCATGTGCCGATCATATCACTGTTACAACCCTTCGCCTTTAATGCTACCCAAAGGCCAATTATGAGTTTGCAGTGGACAAAGACATCTTTTCTGTTTGGCTGCCATTGAGTGACACAAATGTTCACTTCAATACATACAGTAGTGTACGTCGTACACATTGAACGAGTTTTATTCAATCAACATTCTTGATTATACATCACTCAAGGGGAAACTACTACTACCGCATAATTCATATAGTACAACACCAATTCTGATAAATTCCAAAAAAATTCTGCGCAATTTAAAACAATTCCAATTAATTCCGATGTTTCTAAGTCAAATTTGATGATGATCAACTTCAAAAATTGCAAATATAGGGTCATTTAGCATCTCAAAGGAATGCTTAAGCGCATAGATGTTCAATCTTATCGAAATAACTTCAGATAGGGCGTTTTTAATTGTACATAGGTCTCACTTCCAATTCAATATTTCACTTCAAATAGGTAAAGGCTTTATGATACATAAAATATTTTCAAAATAGAAAACAGAGCTAGAATTGAGTCTTGTAGATCAAACCAAGTCCAATATGTTCTGGAAGTAAAAATCTTCAATATGCATTCAAATGAATGGTAAATGTCCGTATATTTGCGATATTTTAAGTTGATCATCACCAAATTTGACAAAGGAACATCGGAATTGATTGGAATTGTTTTGAATTGCGCAGAATTTTTTGGAATTTTTCAGAATTTGTGTTGTACTAGATTGTATTAATACGAATTACGCGGTAGTAGTAGTTTCCACCTTGATATCACTCGTTAGCAGCGATAGACACAAGCTTTCTTTGCTCAATGCAATGCAATGCAAATGCACCATATTTATTGCATACAAACTAGCAAATACAAAATATTTAGCGTAATGAAATTATCTCGTAGCAAAGTCTGTCTAAATGCATCATACAAGCATCTTTTTTCCATTTATATTAGCTATTTTGAGCGGCGTTTTTTCGCGTGCGAATCACACTATTCTGATAACGATTGCAAACACTTTTTTTATTCAATTTCCTTTGGGAATGTTGTTTCCCTCAATTGATAACGATCAAGTGAGACGATTCGAATTCGGTTTTTGTTTGTTATGAATTTGTTTTTGAACTTGTTATATTTTTCTATTTCGATTAAGATGTTAAATGTATATTACAAGGATTTGCTTCCCATATTTTGTAGATTGGACATTATTATCGACGGTCAAATTGAAATAATCTCGATTAGGCTACGTCTGTGATGAATGAACACATTCTTTTATCTTTGAGAAAAGAGACCGAAGTATGGATTTTAACTTACGAAAATAGGGCAACCAAACCAATATACGATATGCGGGAATATTTTCTTTTTGTTCTCTTTGAATTTCTTACATCATTCACCATAATCTACCTGAATACAATAGAAAAAAAAAAGAAATTCCACACTTACTGTACATTTGAATGAATGACTTGTGGTGGCTGTTCGACCACAACAAAACTCGACAATAGCAGTTTTTGTTGTATAAAAGCGATTTCATTTGCAAGAGTATCGACATCCGTTCTTCCAGCGTGACATTCACGCATTACGCTCACCAATGAATGCGTATACCAAACATAATCGAATAATTGTTCGAAATGTGTTTGAATTTGGTAAAGTTCGATTTTAAGCTTTTCCAGCGTCTGGATCATACTCTGTGTCCTGGGACCACCTTCGCCATAGAGAAACATGATTTGATTATGTTTCCATCTGCCCAATAGTTTGTCGATGAGAATATGCTGTGCCTCGTTGAAAAATCCAACGACGAATTGTAGTCTAGTCAAGATATTTTTACAATTTTGTTCCATTATCAACCAAATTTCCCTGGCTTTTTCCACGCAAGCACTTTGTTCCAGCTCAACATTACGCATGGTCGACTCCATACTCAAGTTTTGGATATGGTGTGAATAGTCGATGTACAGCTTGTTATTCCATGCATGTTCAGTTTGGTACTTGTTAGCCGTGTCGTTATTACGATAATCATTGACAATCGGTGATATTTGCTCAATTTTCGATTCGAATTCACGCAGTTCAATCCTCTGCACGGTCATAACCAATTGTTCGTTGCATTGTTCTTCACTTGACATTAACTCGCAGAATGATACCATGTTTGCGATGAAGGAAATTCGTAGAAAAAGAGAAGGAACACCGAAAGAAACTGAGCACTGTTTGAAAATTGCTGGAATATAATCGAAACGCGCCTATTCATCAAACAAATGATGATTGAATTCAGTTCACAAATCAAAAGAGCACTCAATTTTCTAACGAATCTACGAGATGTGATTCAAGAGCAGATCTGAACACGTTACTGTCAATACGAAAAATGAATTGGACACATCAGATGCATCTCGATCGAAAGTTCGCATCTTTTACTTGCATTGCATTGCCGAGTCTGCGACATTACGCACCATTGCTGATTCACTAGCTGATTAAGCAAAATGATAAGCACGTCGTTCATAAACAACGCTTGCACGTAAATAACACTTCCGTGAAATGTTTGGATTTTCGCAAAAACATCATCATAATCGGGTGCGGTCAAAACGGTGATTTAGTTCTTCTTTTTTTTTCCACAAAATGGAATTCCCTTTCGGAATTGAAAGAGTCAACGACCGCACGACGAATCATATCGAACTCGAATATACGGCCGGCGTTTTCCAAACAAACATGTCATTATGTTGAAAGTGACATCAAATTTAACGCAAAAAAATTAATCCATGGCACAATTTTCAATTTTTTTTATTGGGTTTTGTTTCCATCCGTTGAAAATTGTATGGAATAAAAATCATGGAATAAAACTATGGAATAAAAATCATTGACAAGGTAAGTGATCACTAACGGAAGTACACTGTTCCGTGGCATTGAAACCTTTGAAACTTGTATTGCCTACTTTCGAGAGCTTTTTGTCAAGGCATTTGTAATGATATTGAAAATTTATGGTTCAAATCTCTGGTTTGAAGCAATCCAGCGATCTCAATTTGAAAAGAGTGTGTACCAACAAAGTGCTCTCACCTCATAACAGCAGAAATATCTTACCTTTTCGATAGAGAATTTGGATTCGCGTCTGAAATGTTTTTTTTTAACGCATTCATGGTGCATAATTGTCATTATTATCAGAAATCTACCTTAGTATGATTGAGATACAACGTAAATCTTTGCTAATATTGAAAATTTGGCGGTATGAATGCGTTAAAACAACTCTTCAGTCGCCTAAGTAAGCAGTTTAAGCTCATGTTCTGACTGCTCAGCAGCAAAATTACACTCTCTGTGACAAAGTAAAGACAAATTTTGCTTCGAATTTGATAGCATATCCAAGAAGTCGCGCCCAAAAAGTCAATCTCTTGATGTAACTCATAGTGAACCACCTCTTAAAATTCATTTTTTGAATTGTCTAATTTGCCACTTTTGCTTAATTTTCGAAGAAGAATCGATTTATGATTAAATAACCTCGTGCAGCTTGGCGTCATTTCCTCCACTTCCATATGTTTGCAATGATGTTTGAACTTTGACAAGCAAGCTTCTACAATACAAATTAAATGCGAGTGGAGACGCCACAAAAATGACTCCAAAATCGTCGATGAATGATCGAACTACTTTGATTCAAATTTATACGACCTTAGTGTCAGATCCGGGGCGTTATGTCCAGTGTCCAACACTGCAAAAAAATATGATTGTTCCAAATCAAAATCAGCAAATGACGGCTATATATTTTGGTGTGAGTTTGAGTCTAAACCTTAGCATTGCACGCATCCATTGTCCAAATTTTCGACCAGATGCCAAACAAAAAAACAAGTATCGTTGTAATTTTCAATTTCTTTAGACTATAGTATAATTGAGAATGTGACAGCGCAATTAAATCAATTTCGGTTATTTTTGTCTAACTTATTTCCTTATCACACAACGTATTTTCGTTATCGATTACCGTAATTGTGTGGGAGCATGTATGTGGCCATTTAGATTCGTTATTATCAACACAGCAAAGCACTTCAGAGCAAAATAAATAAATAAATCATATAAGAACAAATCCAACAAATCCGGTGATCTGCATATACGCAAACGCCTTACGTTTTGTTGTTTGTTGGGCATCACATTGACCAACTTGCAAATGATCGATTCCATTATCGAATAGGATAGATAAATGCGATAGTACAGCCAGCTGAGAGCCACACGCAACTGTGTGACGTATAGTACGGTTGTTGTGTGCATCGCTCAGTGGCCAAACATGCGGTGCGATCTTTACATGACGCAGTGTCTGGCACACAATAGTATGCATCAACTGCATGCGGTTCTCAGCTGGCTCATCCATCCTGGTCGATACTGAAATCGATCATTTCCAATGACTAGAATTGGCTGACTTATTAAATAAATGTAAAGTGATTGACAATGTTGTCTATATAAGATTGCACGGTGACGTATTGATATAAGTATGTATGGTCTATCTAATGTACATAATTAGATTAGATTAGATTCACAAAAAATTCCCAATTCTTTTTTTTGTCGATTAAAGTCGAATTTTTCTTTCTTGAACAACTGTCTAATTCCATTGGGCTCGGCACCAAATCGTGGATCATTCATAAATTGAAAGCCACTACGATCGATCATTCAATTCATAATTTACTCAAACGTGCGACTAAAATGGAGAGAACAGTATAATAAAATGTTGGTTTCTTCTGGCGGTCATTTCAGTAGTGCTGTTTGTTTTAAGTAAAGCAACGGTAAGCGATACAAATTCAATTGTATAGTTTACAAATTTCACTTGAAATAAAAAATGGGAATATACTTTGGATTTGTGTACTTTTAATGCTCTAAACAATGGGAAGGTTTTGAAAAAAAAATTGGAAAAACTCTTACTTTTTGATTAAGGAATTGAATAAGTGGGTCTTTTATTTTCTATTAGCCCATCATATCCAAAGAACACGTCCCAACTAATCATTCAACTTTCCTGTATTTTGCATACGGCAGTAATTTATGGACAAAAAGGATTCATTTCAACAACCCGTCAGCCGTTCGCAAAGGGATGGCTCAACTGAACGTAAGCAGCGAAGTGAACTGCTGAGAATATTTGACGGGCAGAAATATGAATTTTGAAAAAAAAAACTGGTGCGCAAAAGTGGAACAGCATTATTGTTTATTTTCAAAGTGACACTGAATAAATCGCGTTTTAAAGAGCGGTGTGGATGTCATATAATATGAAGTATGCATTTTTGTCCAGATTATGCATTGACAGTGAAGTGGCTTATGTTGCGCCCGTACGTAAGCTAACATTTCACGAAAGAATTCACTAACCAGTGGTCATCGGAAATGAGTTTTCAATGTTGCACATTGACTGGATAGTTTTTCATCTCAAGATTCATATTTCTGTAAAACGTAAAACGTCCAGCGAATATTCTCAGCAGATCAAATTAACGCCACTTCGGAGAGTAGAACTTGAAAAAAAGCCAATTTTCCCCAGGGTTATCGTTTAGGTTTTTATAAACAGACGGGCGAGTCAAACGGTTGGAATGGAGCATGTGCGACAATTTTTGACGATAAAAATGGCACAGTCTCGGGTGCTGTGTATGAACTTGATTTAAAGCATTTGCCATCGTTAGATGATCAGGAAGGTGTTAATAAAAACATATATGCACCACTTGTCAAAGAAGTAATCACATCCGATGGTAAGGTATTGGAATGTCGTACGTATCAAATGTCCGGAGCACCAACTGATGAACTCAATTTAAGCGATCCAAACATTCCTTTCGAGAGAAAACCATCAAAAAGTGAGTATACACTGACTACAAAAGACAAACCACCGCCAGTCGCAAATGAATAATCCATGAATTTTCGATGGCTCTGAATACGCAAGTGGTTGTCCATGTTTTCATACTATACATTTCTTATCGAAATGGTTTTGAGAAACTTGCACAGTTGATTAAATGCCAGGAAGCGATTTTTATAAATAAATTTTCAATTTTTTTTTCAGCCTATATGGATGTCATTTTGCGTGGTTCTGAGGAGAGCCAATTGCCACAAGAATATCAAAATTTCTTGAGAAACATTGTTCACAATGGTAATCTTGCATCGCAGGAATTGCTAGATAAATTGTTTGGAAATTATTAGTACCCACCATCGTTCATATTTTTTACTGCAGTTAAAATGCATGAAAAAAAAAAACATTCTGAATAATTCACAATAAACTCAAACAAAGTCTATTTTCTTATTTAAAAAAATCATTCAATTTCATTTGCGCCGATAGTTTGAGGTTCGTATGTGCTATGTTCTATCAATATGATAGTTCATATTGTGTTTTGGGACGTTATGAAACACCTTCCGTACAATGTGTGCGATTTTTCAGAGGTTTTTCATACATCAAATACCAAGTATCGTTCTAGTCGATGTGCTAATCAATTTTTAATCTTGATGGTAAGGTATGAAGGTCACTTCTTTGAACATGAACTTTTTGCTTAGCAACCGGAAAGTTATTGACTAGACGAACGAATAATGCACATGATTGGTCGTTCACAGCACATATGTTTTGCACCTGTTATTTTGTCTAGATGATGGAGTAATTACACAGAGCTAAAGTAATTTTAAATTTTATTTCGATTTTCGGTTGTGTTGAACTGTCGACATGGGAAGTTTTTATGAAAATCTCGGAGCGCATATGAAATAACATTGCTTCCTATGGCAATTCCATTTGATTGACAATTCATCTTTAAATTTATCACTTTAAAAGACATTAGATTGCAAAGAACGGACTAATCGCTGCGTTCGAAATATTCTTCATTGATAACTATCCGGACCTGTAATCGGAACCGCTAAACAGTTGCTGCTTTAAAGAAGGCAGTTTCCTTCTTACCATTTCGTGACGCTTCTTCTCTTTGTGCTTATCCATCGACGACGCAAAAAAGAAAATCAAAGTAAAATTCAAGAAAAAAAAAAACTCTCGAGAAATTGTAGATTGTAAATATAATTTTTATTATTTTTAAACTTTTACGCAGTTCCTATGGTACTATATATATACTGAAAAGCAATGTTCAATGTTCATCCTAAATTGTTAGCTTAAACGGTTTTTTTTCTCGCTTTTTCTATGTTGTTGTTGAAGTTTTTTCTTCTTCCTTCGTTTGTTTTTTTTTTTCACACATTTACAAATGTTCATATAATGTAGACGCTTTTAATTAATGTGTTTTTGTTTTCAAATTTCTTTCATTCGTTTTGTTAATTAAATAAGCACACTTTGATAAAAATCTATGTATCACAATTTTTATTCAGCATTTCATTGGCGAAACGTTGATTTCATGCCGATTCAATTAGTCTAGAATCTCTTGGTGGATCGGAATAGAAGCACCGCTCTGGACCATTGAAATGGCGCATGCAATCGGACCGCGCGCGCCAATGATAGCCAAATAAAAAGAGTATATTTTTTGTGTCTTTATTGAAGGCATATTTGGTGACAATGGGTTGAGTTTCTCTAGCTTCATCATTTTTATACAATGCATAAACAAAAGAATTTGAAGAACACAACCCGAAAGTACATACAGCACAAACGCTCCGCTATCTTCTCATTTCTTCAATCGAAAATGATTGAAGTTAAATTCGTCGAGAATCAAGGACAGATCACTTTGGATCAATCACTTTGAACTGGCCACTTTATATTTATCGGAGATGGCCAGATTTGAATGTTCATCTCAGATGAGTGCCTATCGTATGATCAGTATGGCAAATGATCAATGCGACAGAATTTCAACCGAGTCAAAAGCGGGGAGCTTGGCCATGGGGAAAATTGTCAATAATTTAGATGCAATTTATTCTTTTCCTCAAAAAAAAACGAAAAAAAAAAAATTTTCTTTTGAAATTCTTGAATTGATTTCTTCTTTTGATGTTCTCCGTGGAACTAGAAAATGATGGTGGCTCATTTTTACGTCTGATCGTTGCAAATTTGTATTTATCTCTACGAGGTGCAAATGTACAGCGCAAAATTTTTCGGTTTTCAATTTTCCAATTGCGAAAAAAAAAGGAACACGACAATCTGTTTTTCTAATAAAAAAAAATGGCAGTAGACTATCTTAAACGGAGTAGGAGCAGGAGGCATTTGTGTAGAAACAATCAAGACCATTTGAATTCAAAACAGGAACCACAGTGCCTGTTTTTTTCCCAATAGCTTTGATCGGTGAAAATTAATTTGATTTGTAAAATCGTTGATTTATGGATTTCTTCTAATTTTGCGTTTAACAAATGAATGGGAGAGGAAAGCAATTGTGGGGCCGTAACAATTTCTCTTTAAATTCTAATGACTCACATTCATCTAATGTCTCTATAAATAAGTTCTTATGAACGATTGATTTAATTGTTTTGACGACAAAATCAATGCGCCTTAAATTGAATTTTTAAAATCATCATCTATTTGAATTCGATGCATTGAACGAAGCCTTAACGGTGACAATTGGCGGACAAAAAAGAAACAAACAATTTTATGGTAAGTAGCGAATATTTGATCTGATTGAATTACAGCGGTAAATTTGTCAATAGTCAATCGAAATTAGAATCAATCGATGGATTTCGGGCTGAAATTTTCAACGCCCCTACCGTACTTCTGATCAAGCTGTCATGCGATACCATTAGATTGTTCAAACTAAACGGGTCAAAGATTGAACCAGATTGAACGTTCTTGGTCAAACAAATTCTGGTCGATTGTTGTTCAATGATCAATTGACTTAGGACCAAACGATGACCATTTCATGTTGTTGTGATATCAGCCACTGGAACTTCAAGCCCAATTCAATCAGATATTTTGGTATGATAGAGTGAGATGAAGAGACAATGTCCCCATAGTAAAATCGGAATCCTTAAAATCCGTACACATACACATTCATTCACAAGAAGAAAAATAATTTTAAAAAAAACCATTCTCATTTGTTCTAATCCATTCATTCATTTGCCGACCATTTGAGTGGTTTGGAGCGAAAATGTCATACAGGAAAAGTTGAGAGGAAAAATGTCAAATGAAAAGAGATAGCTATATAGTTCACTATAGTTTACTATACAGTTTACTATATAGCTCAATCCCTTTTCCGCTCATTCATCATCGACATTTTTCCGCTCAACTTTTCTTTATTACATTTTCGCTCTAAACCCCTCATTTTCCTCTCTGTGTCATTTTGTCAAATGAGAGGATTGAATCAGATTTTCCACTTACAAAAAAAGAATATTATTTGCGAATTAATATTACAGATCTACATGTACAGCATAGTGATAATATTAAAATAGATATCTATTGTTGCTGTTAATTTTTTTTGTTTGCTTTGTTTGGATGTGTGAGTGTAATTTTGGATTTTAGGTGTATTTTTCTTCATTTTAGGTGTTTCTTGTTTCATTAAATATAGACGCTTATTTTTCGTGTCCATTTTTTCTTCTTCCACAAATCTGTTCTATATAATACAATGATATAACATTTAGACAAACGACAGAACAAATGACAAACGTGCTCTCACAAGTTTAAGACATGTTCAAATTCAATGGTTATACACTAATATGAATATTATCTTATGGCTTTGAAGCGACACGCTACTGGAAATAGTGAAAAAAATTTTTTTTCTATTTTTCACTTCAGTTGTTTTGCTTTTTTAGGCTTCTGTTACATTCTCTCATTCAAGAGAAATCTTATAAGAATTTTCCTTCTTTATTCATTCCATTTTTGCTTTCATTTCAAGCTTCATTCCATTTCTGTTTTTCAATTTTTCGATTTCTGTTTTTTTTCTCCATTTTCTTGTTGTTTCACGCTTCGAATGAAGCTGAAAGATAGGAAGCTTCTTTTTAGCATGAATGAATATTCCCAAAATCGCTCATCGATACCGGGACTATGATATCGTAACTACTTGTGATATTGGAACCACACGGATCGTGATGGGCTCTCTCTCTCTCTCTCTCTCTCTCTCTCTCGTCGACTCATTATCGACGCTGCATTTGCTTTTCAGCCATATTTTCATCCTTTTTTTTCGGTATACATTTCTAATTTAAATATACAATTAATCAACAATAAAATATGTGCTTGAAACATTCATGCGCGTTGTGTGTGTGTAGTGGGTGATTTGGGGTGATTTGATTTTATCTATTACGGCTACTGAAGAATAAGCGAACTGCGTTTCAATTGATTTTGGTTTGCATTGAACCACAAATGAATATCGTGGACAATATGCATAGAATTCAGCTCCTAATCATAATAACTCTTTTCAATCGAATAATAATGACCTAAACTCCTAACATTTTTTTTTTCTTGTTTTATTTAAATAATTTCATACTAATTTCGATTGAACTTATACATCAAACACTCTCGCTCGCTCGCTCGCTTCATTCATTCCCTATTTATTTCGAAATATTTATAGTTTAGACAGTAATAAAAATAAATTTGTATTAAGATTTGTTTGTTATACACAATAGCTGGGGGAGGAGAAGGGTGGTTTTATCTGTTTCAAGCACACTACAATCTAGCCAAATAGTCGTGTTGACCAATTAATTGAATAAATAGTTAGAAGCGCCGCGAAGGAAATGGCACACGATGACACCATTGTGGTGGTCGCTGAATTCATTTTTTTGTCTGCAAAAAGAGAAAGGGTTTTATTTTAGTCAATTGTTCTCAATCCATTGTTCATAATAATGTGAGTGGATGAATCAAATTTTGAGTCAAACCAAATGGATGTTCGATAATTACCTGGAACTGGTATATCCTCCAGATTTGAATACCCCGACCATCCTTCGGTATTCATTGATTTCACACGAACATGCCAATCGCCTGGCGCCAACGCCAATTTATGCTTGATTCTGCGGAAAGAGAGTAAAAACAATTAGAACAAATTTCAATGTATCAACTTAAAGGAGAAGCAAAAATTTGAAATTTAAACATTTTAAACGAAGCAAAAATTCGACAATAAAGAGCGTCAATTCGATTGAAATAAGATTAAATTTGATTGAGAGGAAAATTCATCGATACTAACTTCCAAATGCCGGTATGTTCTTTGCTTTGCTCTTGATCGATGACAGCTTCTTGAAGCCAGTCTCTTTCCTGCAATGGAACGAAAATGATGAGTAAATTGCTTGATTGGTTGATTCCCTATTGTTAAGTGACGAAATGTTTGAAAAGTTTCAACCGAACAAAGAAAAACTTACTCCTTTGAGTTGATAGTTCAGCATAATTTCCTGAAGTTTTTGCATGCTGCGAATGTGCCAATGAGTGATGACCGTATCACCTTCACGTTCGACTTGGTGCAACTTTGGCGGTTCTGGCACATAGGTCAGTTCGATGGTAACTTTTTCGGCTCCAATCTCATTGTCAACACGGCATTCGTATACACCCAAATCCGTTGATTTCACATTATTCACCACCAAAATGGATGTGTTTTTGTTTGGTGACTTTGGTGCTCGGTAAATCACTGAATACTTTGATCGTGGCTCGTGTGTTCCGATTTGTAATTTTTGTTGATTCTTGTACCATACGACGTGACTTTCGGTCGTTGAATCATAATCACAATACAATTCAGCATTGTCACCTTCTTTCGTGTTAATCACCGATCGATGGGCAGAAACGCGTGGTATGTCTGTGTGGATATGGTTGAGGTGAATTAGTATTGAATCATGGTTGACATGTACACCTTAATTCGATTCCATATTCATTAAAATTAAATTAAGTTCAGCAACATTGAATTTGTGATCAGAAATGCATGGGCTCATACGGAATAAAAAGTGTCTTACGAGCCCATGCCTGTCAAAATTCAATTTGAAAAATCATTTTTTTTTTATAATCAAAAATACAAAGAAATATCAACCACTCACATTTAATATTAATAGTAACGCTGGCATGGCTGATTCCATCGTTTCCGCTATCTGCTAAGCATTGATAAACTCGAACATGATCGTGGTTTGCTTTGTTAATCGTCAAAACACCACCGTTCATCTTCAGATTATCGTCGGATGTAATACGAACACCACCAGCTGACCATTTGAAGTCAACATTATTCGTTCGTGCTCCGGTCACTTTGCACTCAACTTGAATGGTTTCATTTTGACGGTATGTAATTGAACGGCCGGTCACATCACGATTACTTTCATAGATGTGTGCCTCCAAATTGGATAGCACCACCAATTTTGCCTTCATGGTAATGTTATTCGGTGCCACATAGCACAGATACACGTCTTGATCGGTTTCATTAACATTGTTGATGGTTAACGAATGATCCGATTCGCTGTAAACAAATCGATCGTCCGGTGTGATTCGGTTGTTTGAAATGAATAGATTCTTTTGCGTTTCCTTTTGATCACCCTTGTACCATAGAATTACATTTTTGGCTAAAGAAAGTGCAAAGAGGAAAAACAACGGAAATTTTAAAATTGAAAATAAATGCATGAGGTGGATGATTTCCATGCCATTACTTACGGATCAAATTTTCAATTTCACATTTCAACGTCACTGATTCGCCAGCTCTCACTGTTTCTGTGTAGTCGGACAATTTAAAGAAGGCTGGAGCATTGGACTCAACACTGTTGCCTAGTTTTTGGTTTGAATTTTGGTCGGATTCGTCATCGTATTCCAACGGGTCGCCATCATCATCGGCTGTTTTTTTTTTTGAAGATTTAGACAGATTTAAGGGAAAATTGAAAAAAATGAAGAAAATTTAAAAGAAAAGGAAAAACAAATTTAAATGGAAAGAAAATAGAGAAGAAGTTGAAAAACTTGTCAATGGTGACATCAATTATTGCTAATCTGCCATTACCTTGATAGTCTTTGTTTAAATCTTCTTCGGCTTCGTTGGTTGGCTTCGACATTCCTGCAAAACAATAGAAAAATACACATTTTAGTTTGAATAAAACTCAAAAATTCAATTTAAATTGAATGAATCTTCCACTGAATATTTAAATTATGAAAATCAAACGATTTCAACGGTACGATACAAATTCAACGCAAAAACCCACACGCACACACACAAATTTCGGATGATTTTAAGGCCATTCGCGCTGCTCTGGGTGCAATCGAATGGAAACGTGCGTTCTGGTCAATTGCATCTGCTTTGAATGCTAACATTTAATGATTGATGCACTTAATTGGTGTTCGAGTTCAAATGAGCTACCATTCAACACACACACTACAAATTTCCAGTAATGGTTTTCATCTGGGTAAATGGCAGCGGTGGCGGCGGCGTCAAATGTTAATTTTCATCGGAGAATTAAATGACTTTATGTGTAACAATGTATCCCTATTTCTATCTCTCTTTCTCTCTCTCTCTCTCTCTTTCGATCGAAAATCATTGAAACGTTTCAAAGCGAACGATGAAATGCAAAGTCAATAACTCAATTAATTGTGTGTAAATACCGGCTGAATTTATTGATCATAAATCGATGCATTTGGAGTATATCCACTACATACTAATTCCCTGATCGTTTCCTATTGTACGACGGCGGCCGCACGCGGTCTATTTTTCTCTTCCTTCCCAAATATCCCTTTAAATGCAAATTAAATGTCTATTGACATTGTTGTTATTTGGTTATTCGATCGTTTCATTCCGTCGATGGAATGGTAAATATTTATTTAAAACTGGCTTTTTCAAGAAGAAGAAGAAAAAAAAAACGTTGGGAAAAACCGAACCAAATTCTAATTAGATTCAGTGTCTTTTTTTCTCTCTTCTCATTTCGATAATAGTTTGTTATTGTTGTTGTTTTTTTTCCCTTCATTCCGTTTGCTTATTTAAAACCGAGTCGTGAGTCGATTTTTTTTTTTGTCATTCAACAATGAATTTTTTTTTCACTCAATTCAAATTCGGTTCGATTCCAAATACACACACCAAAAATATATGGGCGTTTGTCGTCAATTAAAATGAACGCGTCACACAAGTGCGTACACACAAAAAACGCACGATATGAACCTACATCGAATCAATGGTTAGGAAGAAGGAGAAAAAAAAACAACAAACAAAAGTGCCGAATTTTGTTATTTTTTCTCTTGTGGAAATGCAGCGGTTTTTTTTTCGAGAAATTGTCACACGCATTTTTTAGTGTTGACCACATGGAACTTTAACGAGATTGGGAGAGAAATAGAGCAAGCGAGAGAAAATGAGTGAGCGCGAGTGAATGCAACGCGGACAATATTTTCTGCTTGAGCAAATTCGAACGAATGAACGACCGGTCGGAACGAAGAAAATTTACATAAAATGAGGGTCGATCACTGAATGCGTGCATGCGTACGTGTGCGTGTATTCAGCATTACATGATGCTTTTAACTTATATCCCGTTATAGATCCTCTGACCATAAAATCGTTCCTAACTGCGGAAATTTTCGTTTCAAAACCGAGGCGCGCCTTTAAACAACAAACTTCATTCTGCTGCAAATGCAATTTATTCAAATTGCAGCGCACGTTCTATCGATATGTGAAATCTTGCAAGACTTGCGCGCCCGCCCGCCAATCAATTCCAATTTACTTGACAGACGGACGAACCGGGTCGGGTTTAATGAGGAACAGTTTTAATCGTCGCGTTTCATGCAAATCCAGGAGCATAAATTAGGGCAAAGCATACCGTTTGACGGGGCTAGCTCGTGTTTACTAACATATGTTCCAGTTGTAGTTCGGTCATTTTCACGCAATTTGAACGTTGCAGGCAAAACGACAGGCTACATAGTTCCGATTCCTGTTGGAAACAACCAAGGCACAAAAACGGAAGCAAGAATAGTGGAAAAATCGATGCATTTCAATGCATTTGGACGCAAATGCAAGTTTCTGTGATTGTCGGCAATGAATCGTGTTTGTGTGTATGCAGAAAACGACTGCTAAACTCGTTGGAACAGAGCATAATTTTCATATGCCATTTTTCGTTGGCTGAGACATAGCAAAAGACTATCAAATGGTTTTTTTTTTGTTGTTGCACTTCGTTTGCTTTGGCACTGGGTTTTTCGGGCAAAACTTTTGCCGGTAAATAAAATCGTCGTTGGCATTTTTATTGCTGTACATTCCCATTGAAATGGTTCGCATTTTCTTTTGTGGCTGTGGCTGCAGCGGTGGCGGTGGTGACGGTAGCAGTGCATTTAACAACACTTGCTGAAAAGTTGAAATGGACTTTTTCGCTTTCTTCCGACATCAATTATCCGGAATAAGAAATTTACTCGCTATTCTCAGTTTGTTCCCTAACTTCGGCTCATAGTCAAGTCTTTTGTTTTGTCGCTCTAGCCGAAATAGGCTTGAAAACCCCAAAAACTCAACCAGTGAACGTTGTTTTAACCAACGGCATGCATTTTGTTGAACTGTTTATCGCTGTTGAACGCATATATTATTGTCATCATCATTGTCGTCGTCGTCTTCGTCTTCGTCACCATCAGCGCGGTTTGCAGTTGTTGTGAATGGCATTTGGGAAATGTGTTGATGTGGTTTTTGTTTTTGTTTGTGTGTGTGTATGTGTGTGTGTGTGAGTGTGTGAGAGAGAGAGTTAAAACTTTACTATTCCATAAAATGCTGTTTCAATAAAAATAGATTTAAATATGAGTCATGCGAGGAGTTGAGCGAACGAGTGAGTGCGAGAGCGCGCGTACGCACGCATATATGCACGACTTTGCGCTCATATGTGCATGTTTTGGATTCCCGATCGGACGAAACACACACACACAATGCACAAACAATCCATCCAGCATATTAATCAATAAATGGGTGTAGAGTTTTTATGGTTTCAAACGGGCGATAAACGAGAATAAAACGGGAGGAAAAAAAATGTGCAACGTACGACGACAGCGATGACGACGATGGAGGAGAGATGGAATTGAAAGATTTCAAGCAAATCAAGACGAGAAATATATGTCGCATGGTTCTCACTCAACCACGATATATACCGCACCGAATGTGAGTTCGATGTTTATGTTACTACTTAATGTTTTTGGGCTCGTTAAGATTCTTTTTACCCGCGTTTTCTCACTCAATGCACTACTCCATACACACACAGTGCATACGTTTGCTGTGTTCATTGTTAAAAGTTTTTCTCTTTCCTTCTTCTTTTATGTTCCTTTCGATAATTTCCGTCGATGACTTATTGGTTATGCTTGTGCGAATACACTCACTTCTTCCGCTGTTGATGATGAAGGGAATCCAAGCCAATCGAGCCACTCAGTCTCGAAAATGGATTTCATTTTAGATAGTGACAGAGATATCGGCTTTACATCATTTCGGTGTTATTCAATAGAGTGTGGCGAACGACTGTCTCACCCAGCCACCAATGAATCATCCATGATGAAATTGTGCGTACGAATAATTGACCGACGACTATTTATTAGATTGCAATTCCAATGTCTAGCGATAAACAACAACACTCTTCCCACGACTTCGACCGCAATGCAAATTTTTCGCACTTGAGTGTGTGTATGGGTCATGCTATACAGCAGTACTATGTGATTACACAAGAAAATGCATTTCGAAATGAAAAAAAAACAATCATTTGATTGAAAACGATTGAAAAATGGCATTCAGGCACTTGGAATGGAATGGTAGAAAAAATGTCGCATTTCAATGTAAAATGCAACAAGAAACACTTTGAGTGAGAAAAAAACAGCACATTAAATGAAAAAAGTTATATTCTTCTTCGAGATATTGAAGAAAAAATGCGATTCGATTGTGTAAGAACCCCTTCAGAAGAATGTCGAGAGAGAAAAAAAAATGAAAGCGTTTCAATTGAATTGTCCGTGCGAAAAACACACACATCGCTCTCGTAATTTGACACCCGCACCACATTCACTGCATGGACAAAACGGTCGTAACATTGAAATAATTGCTTGCATAAACAGTTTCGGATGGAATTGAATTCGGTGACGACCGTCAGCAAACAAAAACAAACACAGAGAGTGAAAAAAAAGAATTGAATGAACGGAAAACCAAGCGACCGACACGAAAAATGTTTATTTTTCACACTGAATTATTAATTTATTCTCGCATTGAATTTCATCGATCGAGCAATTCATATCCAACAACAAAATATGGAAAGGAAGAATGAAACAGAAAAAAAAAATTAAATGTTATATGAAAATAATCCGTAATATTTCCGCTAAATGTCGGGCATTTTTAAGCCACCACTCGCGCCCATTGAACTTGATAATTGAGAATGATTGAAGCGCACCCGAAGGCTAACGTATGTTTATAATATCGATGCACTATTCTCTTTTTTTTCGCTCGCTCTTTTACTGTTACACTTTTCAATTCCGCTCTCGATGTTTGTTGTTTTTTGCTCGTTTTTCATGTCATGTGTAATTCTAGAATTGTCATTCAAACACAACAGGGAGAGATAAATCGAGTGAGAGAAAAACAACAAGCCTCGATCGTTTCATTGCTGAATTTGGATATGATTATTATTTTGATTAACGCCCCAAAGTTATACGAAACCCGAATACCATCCATTATAGCGAGCGTATAACCCTGATTAGACTTTTTCTACCGATCGGATTTGTCACTTGTGTTTAGCTCGGCTTTGTTTTTTTCTAGAGTTTAGATCGGGTTTTATAGCTATTTCTCACTCTTTGTCACTTTTTCTCAATATTTTTTAAGTCTCCTGTTTCTTTCGTGATTTTTCTGTAGTTTTCTTTTCATTTGTTATCCATTTTCTTCTCTCTTTTTCTCTTTTCCTTCATGTTTACTCCTTTTTCCTCTCTCATTTCGAATTTCCATCTCCTTTTCTCTATCTCTATCTCTGTCTCTCTCTTTCACTTTCACAGTCTTTCTTCCTCTCCTTTTCCTTGTGGGAATGAGTTTCCACAGACAGACATACTACCATCTCCCTTTACTTCTCTCTCTCTCCTTCTCTCTCT